TTTTTTTGAGATGGAGTCTTGCTTTGTTGCCCAGCCTGGAGTGCAGTTGCACAATCTTGGTTCACTGCAACCTCTGCCTCCTGGATTCCAGTGATTCTCCTGCCTCAGCCTCCCAAGTGGCTGGCATTACAGGTGCCTTCCCCCATGCTCAGCTAATTTTTGTATTTTTAGTAGAGACGGGGTTTTACCATGTTGGCCAGGCTGATCTCGAACTTCTGATCTCAGGTGATCCACCCTCCTTGGCCTCCCAGACTGTTGGGATTACAGGCGTGAGCCACCACGCCTGGCCCGAGCTCCACTTTCTAATACCATCATCTTGGGGGTTAGGATTTCAACATATAAATTCTAGGGGGATGCAGACATCAGTCCACAGCACCTCCCTCCCTCAATCACCTTCTTCTGGTATCTCCTCTAAGGTCACTTCTTCAGTGAGGTCTCCCTGATGACCTCCCTTCCCACGTCACATCATCTGGTTCGTATTCCTTACTCAGCAAGTCATAACCACTGTGTGCCTCCAGTTTTCCATCTGTAAAATGGACACAATAATGGCACCTACCTCATGGAGTTGCTTTAAGGTAAAAATGAGTAAATATGGAGTAGTGGTTCTCAACCAGGGGTGATTCTTCCCTCAGGGTGGAGACATTTGGTAATATCTGAAGACATTTTTGGTTGTCACGACTATGAAGGTGCTACTGGTACCTAGTGAGTAGACGCCAAGGGTGCTGCTGAAATATCTGCAATGCAAGAACCCTTTACTAGGAGGAATCGGCCAATACAAAACATCAGTAGTGCTGAAGCTGAGAAACTATGCTTTAGGGAAAATGTTTAAGACAGTGCCTGGCTCTTAACAAGCACCCAAGAAATGCCAACTGTCATTAGTGTCCACCACTCTGTCCCTCACATTTTACCCCGAGTGGATTCATCAGTAAATACTCGCCTTATGAACATAAAGATTGAGGGATGCATTCCTTACAACCAGGCATACAGTAAGTGCTCAATAAAAATTTAGTGGCCAGGCACGGTGGCTCACGCTTGTAATCCCAGGACTTTGGGAGGCCGAGGTGGGCGGATCACCTGAGGTCAGGTGTTCGAGACCAGCCTGCCCAACATGCCAAAACCCTATCTCTACTAAAAATACAAAAATTAGCTGGGCGTGGTGTTGGATGCCTGTAATCTCAGCTACTCGGGAGGCTGAGGCAGGAGAATTGCTTGAACCTGGAAGGTGAAGGTTGCAGTGAGTCGAGATTGTGACACTGCACTCCAGCCTGGGCGAGAAGAGAGGAACTCTGTCTAAAAAAAATTTTTTTTTGGTTAATTAGATTGTGCATTCTCCAGTGCCAGGCACAAGGCAGGCATTTCATAGATATTTTATTAGTTAATGCATGTGAGGCTTAAAGGCTATCTCTGGGGATTGGTATACAGTAGACACTCAATATGTATGAATAAATGAGAGAACCAAATGAAATGGTGTTTGCACAGGGCCTGGTGCATGGTAGCTGCTCAGGGCTCATTAGCTTCCCCATCTCATCCCCAGACCCTAACACTTACCAGCTACCTGGACCTCAGTCTTTGCCTTCATAGTCCAGTCAGAGTTGATGGTGATGGCTACTTGGTAGGTGCCGCTGTCCGTAGGCTGGGCACGGCGCAGCAGCATGGAACCATTGGGGAAGCCCACAATGTCTCGCTGTCCCATGGCGCTGCCATCCCTTTGGGGCCGTTGTATCCCAGGGATGTAGGTAAATAGTCTCGTGCCTCCATAGGTCTCCTCCCCCAGGTACCAGTTGATGTCCTGGAAGGTGTCTGGGACACCCTGGACGGACAAGAGAAGGTCCTGGTTCTTTTGAGCCTGCTCTGGAATCTTCTGGATGTGGAGGGCTGCCTGGGAGCTTTGGAGCATCCAGAGGACCAGGATTGAGGCTGTGGGAAGTTATAGGGAAAGGCTGAGATCAGGGGTGTTGCCAGGGTTCATGGTATGCTCCTCTCTAGACAGAGATTTTCACTGGAGAGCAAGGACTCTGAGTGCTGCTCATTGGACATAGTGCTGGGATTGATTATTGATGTCTGCCGTGGGTGCAGGAGTGGGAACACAGGCATGGATCCCACAGATTTGCCATCCTACTGATCCAGAGGTTTTTCTACATTGAGATTCTGTGTGGTCTACTTCTTTTTTTTTTTTTTTTTTTTTGAGATGGAGTTTCACTCATGTTACCCAGGCTGGAGTGCAATGGCGCGATCTCGGCTCACCGCAACCTCCACCTCCTGGGTTCAGGCAATTCTCCTGCCTCAGCCTCCTGAGTAGCTGGGATTACAGGCACGCACCACCATGCCCAGCTAATTTTTTGTATTTTTTAGTAGAGACGGGGTTTCACCATGTTGACCAGGATGGTCTCGATCTCTTGACCTCGTGATCCACCCGCCTCGGCCTCCCAAAGTGCTGGGATTACAGGCTTGAGCCACCGCGCCCGGCTGTGTGGTCTACTTCTAAACACATGGACTCTCTGAATTCATTCATTCATTCATTCAACCAATACTTATACGCATGTATAATATATGGGCTACAATACCAACTATATATAATACATCTACACTTCTTTCAATGTTTAGACACTGGAGATGTAGCAGAGAACCAAACATACATAAATTTCTGCCTTCATTATCCCGACATTATAGAAAATTCCACAGATAAAACAGTGATAAGGACGTGATTCTGTTGCCCCTCCCCATCTTACTCTAATTTCATCCTCTCAGATCATCTTTCCCTACTTCTAAGAGGAAGCTTCAGTCCCTGGGCTGAGTCCCTCATCCCTTCTCCCCCTCAGCCTTTATGGTGTATATCCTCCTTACCTGAGAGCAGGAGGCTCTTTGAGAAGCAGCCCTGGGTCCCCATGGGAATCTCCATCTTCGTGTCCTGTGGATATGCCAAGGGCCCAGAAGCTGAACACTAAGGGCTAGGCCCTGGCCGTCTGAAGTAGGCAAACTCAGTAGGGATCCCAGGGGTGCCTTAGAGACCCTGCTGAGGCTGGCCCAGCCCTAGCATACCCTGTTCACAGCCTCTGGAGGCTCCACCTATACTCCCTGGGATGGGAGCACAGACGCAGGTTGAACCAGTTTTTCAGGGTGACTGGGGAACTTCCCAGGACTCCTCCCCTGTCCTTCGTCAACCTCTTTTTCTCACTCAGGGTGACTGCAACAGCAGTCACTGTAACAATAGTCATAGCGGCCTCTGTTTGAACAACTTCCCTGGGTTTGCTCATTCAGCAGCCACCATAAATAACTGTTCCCATTGCACAGACGTGAAAACAGAGGCCCAGGAAGAGGCAAGTCTGCCCATAGACAGATGTGGGATTTCACCTGTTGCTGACTCACTTGAAAGCTCTGAGACAGGCCAGGCAAGGTGGCTCATGCCTGTAATTCCAGCACTTTGGGAGGCTGGGGTGGGTGGATCATGCGGTCGGAAGTTCAAGACCAGCCTGGCCAACATGGTAAAACTCCGTCTCTATTAAAAATACAAAAATTAGTCAGGTGTGGTGGCAGGCACCTGTAATCTCAGCAACTGGGGAGGCTGAGGCAAAAGAGTTGCATGAACCTGGGAGATGGAGTTTGCAGTGAGCTGAGATCGCACCACTGCAGTCCAGTCTGGGTGACAAAGCGAGACACTACCTCAAAAAAGAAAAGAAAGAAAGAAAGAGAAAGAAAGAAAGCTCTGAGCCTAATACTTTAGTCTTGCTGTATTTCCATTCATGAACATTGAATGTCTTTCCATTGAAATGTGCCACTTATAATTTCACGAATATTTATATTTTTCAGAGATGTGTTATTATATATTTTTTGAGACTGAGTCTTGCTCTGTTGCCCAGGCTGGATTTCATTGTTCACCACAGCTTCCAACTTCTGGGCTCAAACAATCCTCCTGTCTCAGCCTCCTGAGTAGCTGGGACTACAACTGTGTACCACCATGCCCGGCTAATTTTTTTATGTTTTGTAGAGATGAGATCTCACTATGTTGCCCCAGCCCGGTGTTGGACTCCTGGGCTCAAGTGATCCTCCCACCTTGGTCTCCCAAAGTACTGGGATTACAGATATGACTCACCACACCTGGCTTAGCCTAGTTTTTTAAAAAGCATCCTCCATTCATTCATTCATTCATCCAGCACACATTCCCAGTGCCCAGTTGTGGGTGCTGGGTGATGTTGGTGACACAGTGATGATTGAGACCATCCTCTGTCCACAGTAGGGTACACAGTCCTGTACCATGTAGGGGGCAGATCCCTCCCCACACAATGACGATCCAGAGTGATCAGGGCTGGAATGGAGGAGGCCAGGAGTCTGGGCGAGCCCAAGGGGACACACCTCATTCAACCTGAGGGGTAGGGAGGGCTTCCTGGAGGAGGGGGCATCTGAGCTGAGACCTGGAGTAAGAGTAGAAGTGAGGCAGATGATGGGGTGAGGCTGGGTGAGGGTTACCAGGCAGCATAAAGAGCAATGCAGGGTGTGGAGGCTGATACAGTCATCAAGGCGAATTGAGGCTGCAATATCCTGGGTGGGTGGAGCCAGGAAGGAGCACATGGGACATGTCTGTGTGAGGCTGGGTGGTGTGCTCTGTTGGTTGGATCAACAGAGCTTGGGTGATGGAGAGACTAGTGTTATGTTGTTTAATATCATAGCTATTAGTCATATGTGGCTATTTAAATATAAATTTTGGCCAGGCACGGTGGCTCACTCTTGTAATCCTACCTCTTTGAGAGGCCGAGATGGGAGAGCTGCTTGAGCCTAGGAATTTGACACCAGCCAGGGCAACATAGTAGCTGGGATTGCAGGCATGCATCACCATGCCTGGCTAAATTTTGTATTTTTAGTAGAGACTGGGTTTTGCCATGTTGGCCAGGCTGATCTTGAACTCCTGACCTCAGGTGATCCTCCTGCCTTGGCCTCTCAAAGTGCTTGGATTATAGGTGTGATTCCATCTCTAGACAAAAAATTTTTAAAAAATTAGCTAGCTTTGGTGGCTCTTGACTGTAGCTCCAGCTACTCAGAAGGCTGAGGCAGGGGGATTACGAAGCCTGGGAGGTCGAGGCTGCAGTGAACTTTGATCATGACACTGCACTCTAGCCTGGATGACAGAGTGAGAGAGACCCTGTCTCAAAAAGAAAATGTTGAATAGGCTAGGCACAGTGGCTCATGCCTATAATCCCAGCACTTTGGGAGGCAGAGACAGGAGGATCACTTGAGGTCAGGAGTTGAAGGTCAGCCTGGCCAACATAATGAAACCCTGTCTCTACTAAAAATACAAAAATTATCGGGGTGTGGTGGCGCACGCCTATAATCCCAGCCACTCTCCACTGGGAGGTGGAGGTTACAGTGAGCCAAGATTACACCACTGCGCTCCGGCCTGGGCAACAGAGTAAGACTCCATCTCAAAAAAAAAATTGAATATATATATATGTAAAAATGTATATATGTGTGTATAAATATGTATATATATGTGTGTATTTATATTCAAAGTAATTAAAATTAAATGTATTTAAAAAATGCAGTTCCTCAAACTAGCCACTTTCAAGTGCTCACTAGCCTTGTGTGATCAGTGGCTATTACACTGGACAGCACAGATGGAGAATGCTTTCATCATCAGAAAGTTCCATCCGGGAGCGAGGGCTGACCTAGGGATTTGAGGCAGGCGTGCCAGGCATTTCTACCTGGTGAGGGCCATGAGGAAGAGATAGCGAGGCCGGGGTGTGATGTATCTATAGCACTTTGTGGGTGTCTGAGTGTTCTGGACACGTCTTCAGCCTGTTGGGGGTGATGGTATCTTCCAGAGGCCCCAGGTTGAGGCAAATCAGGAATCTTTTGAGACGGAGTCTTGCTCTGTCACCCAGCTGGAGTGCAGGGGTGCGATCTCCGCTCACTGCAACCTCCGCTGCCTGGGTTCAACTGATTCCCCTGCCTCAGCCTCTCGAGTTGCTGGGACTACAGGCACCCGCCACCAAACCGGGTTAATTTTTTGTATTTTAGTAGAGATGGCGTTTCACCATGTTGGCCAGGATGGTCTCGATCTCCTGACCTTGTGCTCCTCTCCCCTTGGCCTCCCAAAGTGCTGGGATTACAGGCAAATCAGGAATCTTGACATTGAACCACCTTGAAGGATGGGGTGGCCCGGCTATAGACTGGTCGGCTGCAGACTCCAGGGAAGCTCTGCCGTGAGGGGGCGGGTCTGGCTGAAAATCTGGTTTTACTACCATTTGGCTGGGGGATCTTGTGGCAAATGACTTCACCTCTCAAGAATGGGAATAAGCATCACCACCTCACAGGGACGTTGGGAGAACAGTGTGCAAGAGGCCCGGCAAACAAGCGACAAACGCCTGCCATTCTTCTTATTATTGGTATTGACCTTGTCTTTGGACTTACCCCACCTCCCCCATTGCCCCCACCCTCGTGACCCTGCTCAAGAGAAGTATATTTTTCCTGGAGGGATTTTTAATCCTCCACATCCCCAATGTTTCTTAATGCCTGGAAGATTTTCTTTCTTCTTTCCTTTCCCCTTCCTTCTTTCCTTCCTCCCTCCCTCCCTCCCTGCTTCCTTCCTTTTTCTTTCTTTTTTTCACCGAGACAGAGTTTTACTCTTGTTGCCGAGGCTGGAGTGCAGTGGCACAATTTCGGCTCACTGCAACCTCCGCCTCCCAGGTTCAAGCAATTCTCCTGCCTCAGCCTCCTGAGTAGCTGGGATTACAGGCATGCGCCACCACATCCAACTATTTTTGTATTTTTAGTAGAGATGGGGTTTCTCCATGTTGGTCATTCTGGTCTCGAACTCCCGACCTCAGGTGATCCACCACCTTGGCCTCTCAAAGTGCTGGGATTACAGGTGTGAGCCACTGCGCCTGTCACGCCTGGAAGATTTTATGCTGGGTTCGTGGGTCAGAGTACCCTCAGAATCTACCTTCAATCCTTCTTTTTTTTTGAGACAGAGTCTCGCTCTGTCACCCAGGCTGGAGTATAGTGACATGATCTCAGCTCACTGCAACCTCTGCCTTCCGGGTTTAAGGCATTCTCTACCTTCGCAGTAGCTGGGATTATGGGTGCCTGCCACCATGCTAGGCTTATTTTTGTATTTCTAGTAGAGACGAGGTTTCACCATGTTGGCCAGGCTGGTCTCGAACTCCTTACCTCAGGTGATCCGCCCACCTTGGCCTCCTAAAGTGCTGAGATTGCAGGCGTGAGCCACCACACCCGGCCCTTCGATCCTTGCTGCAGTTTTGCAATTTCCTTGGTCTGTCTCCTGAATAGAGGTTGTTGCAAACCCTGCAATTATTTCCAGGCACGTAATGCAAAGCCAGCTATTCTCAATTTTCCGGTGGCTGGATTCTACCCTCTCCTGTCTCCCTCCCGCTCTCTCTCTCTTCTTCCTCTCCCTTTCAAATAATAACTACGATTCCTTTTGCATTATTAAAAGAAGAGTCAAGGTTTATTATAGAATATTTAGGCAGTACTTCAAAGAGAATAAACCCAGACATCTTCTAACTACTCAGCGGGAGGCACTGCTAGTAACAGAGGTACCTGGTCCCGCAGCCTTCATCCGGGCCTCTCCCCAGACCCAGAGGGCAGGTCCTGATTGGTCCAGCTTCCCAGGCGGTCCCATTCTTTTGGCCAGGGATTGGTTGAGCGGTGGGAGGCGCTCATGAATGAGACCGGAAAAGACGCTGCTGGGTGGTTTCCCGTTCCCACGGAGGCTCACTCAGGTAGGGATGGGCAGCTTCTCTGGGTCTGAGTCTGGATGTGATGCCCGGAATGCAGCAGCCATCTTGGCACCAGAGGGTGATGCCCGTATGTGGAGGAAAGCTGAACAAACAGCAGAGAAGTAGAGCCGTGCCCAGAGTAGACCAGTTCTTTTTTTTCTTTTTTTGAGACAGGGCCTCGCTCTTGTCAGCCAGGCTGGAGTGCAGTGCCTCGATCATGGCTCACTGCAGCCTCCGCCTCCCCGGTTGAAACGATTCTCCCACCTCAGCCTCCTGAGTAGCTGGGATTACAGGCATGCACCACCATGATTGGCTAACTTTTTGGAGAGATGGGGTTTCACCATCTTGGCCAGGCTGGTCTTGAACTCCAGATCTCAAGTGATCCACCCGCTGCAGCCTCCCAGAGTGCTGGGATTACAGGCATGAGCCACCACACCCAGCCCATAATTTAAGAAAAAAATTTTTTTTTTTTAGATTTCAGTAGCACAGGCATTTTCACTCCAAGCAATCTGCAACCCAGAGGCTTCTGGGACCTCACAGCTACTCAGGACGAGATCATATTGACCTGAAAAGACCCCCCCCCCCGCATGCAGGAGCAATGTGGAGGGAGGGTTTGGAGTGTTTTAGCCTCTTTATGATCTCCATCATATCCCGCCTCTCACAAATTCTCTGATATGGATAGTTGCAGTTTTTCTCTTTCTTCTCTTCTTTCTTTTCTTTCTGAGTACAGTGGCACAATCTTGGCTGACTTCAACATCCGCCTCCCGGGTTCAAGTGATTCTTCGGCCTCAGCCTATCAAGTAGCAGGACTACATGTGTGTGCCACCACGTCCAGCTAATTTTTGTATTTTTAGAGAGACGGGTGTCACCATGTTCATCAGGTTGGTCTCGGTCTCTTGACCTTGTGATCCACCTGCCTTAGCCTCCCAAAGTGTTGAGTTTACAGACCTGGGCCACCGTGCTTGGCTGTTTTCTTAAACTTATAACTTTATACAAGACCTATACCAAAATTCTGGGTCCACACTCCATTCCTAGCTCTGTGGACTCCAAGGATGCCCCCTCCCTCCAGATAAAGGTCATCAGCTGCATCGCTGGTGGGAACAGAGCTCAGCACAAATTCTGTGAGGGTTCATTTGTCCATATTAATCACAATGACAAGAAACATACTCTTTGGCCCAGCAATTCCACCTCCAGGAGTGTGTCCAACACTCAGGTGTCAACATGAGCTCAATGACAGTGTGCCTTGGCCAGGCACGGTGGCTCATGCCTATAATGCCAGTACTTCAGGAGGCTGAGGCGGGAGGATTGCTTGAGCCCAGGAGTTTGAGACCAGCCTGGGCAAGATGGCAAGATCCCTGTCTCTAAAATAAAATAAAATAAATAAAATACATAACAGTGTGTAAAGTTATTCACTATAACACTGTAATAATAAAAGGCTGGAAATGATACAAATGCCTGTCCTTTGGGGCCTGGTTAAAAAACCTGTACATCCCTCCCATGGAATATGAGGTAGAATAACTAAGGAGGCATTCTGTGAATTACCAGAAACTGTGAGCAGCAAAAGGTCCAGGGCTGGGCGCAGTGGCTCATGTCTGTGATCCCAGCACTTTGGGAGGCCGAGGCAGGAGGAGCACTTGAACTTAGGAGTTCCAGACCAGCCTGGGCAATACAACGAGATGCCCATTTCTAAAAAAAAAAAAAAAATTTTAGCCAGGTGGGGTGGTGCCCACCTCAGGAGGCTGAGACAGGAGGCTCACATGAGCCCAGCAGGTGGAGGCTGCAAGGAGCCATGATCAGGCCACTGCACTCCAGCCTGGTCAACAAAGGAAGACTCTTTCTAAAATAAATAAATAAACAACTAAATAAATAAATAAAGGGTACTATTCAATGGTGTTTTTGGTACATAATATATTTTCAAAATTGTGGTTAAAAAGAGATAACAGAAAATTTGCCATTTTAGCTACTTTTGAGTGTATGAGTCAGCGGGATTCACTGCATTCATAGTGTTGTGAAACTGGATATCCATGTGCAAAACAATGGAGCTGGATCACTACTCCATACACAAATTAACTCAGCATGGATCCCTGATATCTTTTTGTCACTTCGAATTTTGGGGAGCTGATGTACTATCTAATTTAAAAAATTAGATTGGCACAGTGAGGTGTGCCTGTCGTCCAGCTACTTGGGAGGCTGAGGTGGGAGGATTGCTTGAGCCCTGGAGCTGGCGGGGCTGCAATGAGCTAGGGTAGTACCATTGTACTCCAGCCTGGGTGATACTAGACACTGTCTCTTCAAATTTTTTTTGGGAGACAAAAAAAAAAAGACAAGCAAGCGGTTCCTAAGGAATCACAGCCCTTATGGCCTGCTTCATTTAACATCTTGCTTCCGTGCCCCTGGTTCCATCCCACGTGGCAACAGTACACCTGAAACCTGTCTCCTCCTTGATTTCCACAGGAGGCCCCATTGCACACAGCCAGTGCAGGTGCAATAAATAAGCTTTAATGAGGTTCTGGAGGCTGGAAACGGACGAGGATCTTACGTGCCACCAAAGCAACCAATGTCCCTTTGTCTCCCCAACTCTGTAAGGTCTTATTGGCCTCGTCACCCCTTGAATCCCTTGCCCCCGCCATTCTGCCGGTTCTGGTCTCTTCCCCACACGTCCCTGTTCCCCACTCCTCCATCTCTGTCCAGAGCAAATGCTATGTCCCGCTTATATTCTCTTGCAGAGCAGCTCAAGCTTTGCTTTCCCATTTAGCATCTTGGCTCAAGGTCTTTTCTCCCTCATTCTATTTTCCTAGACAGTTTTCTTTATAAGAGGAATTCTGGTGCCTGCCCTCAAGATCCTAGAACTTTTTTTTTTTTTTTTTTTTTTTTTTTGAGATGAAGTCTTGCTTTGTCACCCAGGCTGGAGTGCAGTGGCGCGATCTCGGCTCACTGTAATCTCCACCTCCCGGGTTCAAGCCATTCTCCTGTTTCAGCCTCCTGAGTAGCTGGGATTACAGATGCATGCCACCACACCCAGCTAATTTCTGTATTTTTATTAGAGATGGGGTTTCACCATGTTGGCCAGGCTGGTCTTGAACTCCTGACCTTGTGATCCACCCATCTTGGCCTCCCGAAGTGCTGGGATTAGAGGTGTGAGCCACCGCACCCGGCCGATCGTAGACCTTTATAAAGTAAATTTGTCAGTTGCAGCTGAGCAGCTCAGCCTCCTGGTCTTGGGTCTCCTGCATCTTGGCCCTATAGAGTGTGTCCTGAGCAACCGCAGCACCACCTCTCCCTGCATCCCTCCCCCTTGTGCTGGAAATAGCATTTGCTTCTTTTGTGGGTTATTTCCTGCCAGCCCCAGCTTGCTGGCTGCAGATGCTGGCAGAAAGGGGCTGCAGCTGACAACCTTCTCCAAGTTCGCGTCTCTGCTCCTTGGACAACACCCAGGCAGCTGCTTGTGGTCTGAGTTCCAGCCTCTGGTGACCAGGGTCAGTGGCTGTTTCTTGTAACCACAGAGATCTGACAGATACAGACACTTAGAAGCTCAAGGCCAGAGGCCAAATTTTTACCCAAATTCTCTGGGGGTCCACACCCTTCTGTGTGGTCCACTATGCAGGAAAGGCTTAGCCTTGCGCAAAGAAAGACGGGGCCCTGTATTCTCAGCTCCTGGGCATTCAACTCTAAGCTCTTGGAAGACCCTGACTGATAGCCCATCTGAACTGATCATGCTAATGCTGTGATTTATGGTGGGGGGGCCTTGGGCCACATGGTATTGGCTTGATGCATGAGGTCAGCCATGTGGGTGGTGAGCTGCTTAATTCAGCACTTTGGGAGGCTGAAGCAGAAATAACACTTGAGGCCAAGACTTTGAGACCAGCCTGGACAACATAGGGATACCCTGTCTCTACAAATAATAAAAAGATTAGCCACACATGGTGGCACATGCCTGTGGTCCTAGCTACTCAGGAGGCTGAGGTGGGAGGATGACTTGGACCTCAGAGGTCAAGGCTGCCATGAGCTGTGATCTCACCACTGCACTCCAGTCTAGCAACAGAGCCAGACCCTGCCTCAAGACAAACAAAAAACTCTGGACACGAAGGTCTCGAGTGAACTGCTCTGGTTCGCAGTATTTCTTGTGTGTTGTCGCATGTCGTTGCTGTGAGAATCAGGTGCTGCCTACACAGCTCCACTGGGAAGGGACAGCTGGAAGCTGTTGGCTCATCTCTCCCAGAACGTGTGCTGGGCAGCACCTCGCTTTGCTGATTTTAATCTCTGTTCTTTTGCTGTAATAAACCGTAACTAGGAACTTAACAGCTTTCCTGAGTCCAGTGAGTCCTTCTAGCAAATGAGCTCAGGGTGGTCTTGGAGACCTCTGAACATGCACCTACCACCTCGTTTTGAGGTCTGGAACGGGAAGGAGGCCGGTCTCTTTGGAGGGGTCTTCATCCGTGGGGATGGGGTCCAACTCTGGAGGCCCACGTCCTTGCCAGCTCCAGTCTCTCCCCGCTCAGGCCCGATGCTGTCACCTTGTGACCTCTGTCTGGGAATCCTGGGAAGAGTTGGCCACAGGGGCATAGGAGACGGGCTGGAAGAGAGTTTTCGTTTGTTTTCTTTTTTTTTTTTTAATTTTATTTTATTGGAAAAGAGTTTTCAAACCTTAGCCTCAGGGCTCTTTTAAACAAAATCAAAGAACATCTTCCCACCGAAGACCAATGTGCAAAGAACTACAGGCCTGTCCCCTTCCCTCTCCCTGGAAGCCAGGGCAGTGCTTCTTAAGGTGTGGCCAAGGGTGGAGTTGGTGGGGAGGGCCGATATTAAAATGCAGATTCCCTGGCCTCAGCACAGACCACACGGTCAGGGGCTGCGTCTTAGCAAACTCTAGAGGGGATTCTGCCCAGCAGGAAGGGTTGGGAAATGCTGCTCAAGGCAGCAGGAGAAAAGACCCAGAAGACCCAGGCTCCTGAGGCTGGGCTGGGCATGTGGAGACGTCTGGTTTGTAGTTCGTGCAGACCCCACCCCCTCCTCAGCTCCCACACTGCACTTACCCTATTATCCGAGGTGCTGGCAGCCATTGGACCTGGGGAAATAGGAGGGGAAGTCATCAGGAAGGAACAAGGCTGGGAAGCTGGGAAGAAGATATGCCCGGGTGTCAGGGCCCTGAAAACGCCAAGTTCTGCCTCTGCCATTACATGGGGTGCCACTTCCCGTAACGCTATACACGTTTTTTTTTTTTTTTTTTTTTTTTTTTTTGAGATGGAGTTTCGCTCTTGTTACCCAGGCTGGAGTGCAATGGCGCGGTCTTGGCTCACCGCAACCTCCGCCTCCTGGGTTCAGGCAATTCTCCTGCCTCAACCTCCTGAGGAGCTGGCATTACAGGCACGCGCCACCATGTCCAGCTAATGTTTTTTGTATTTTTATTAGAGACGGGGTTTCACCTTGTTGACCAGGATGGTCTCGATCTCTTGACCTCGTGATCCACCCGCCTCGGCCTCCCAAAGTGCTGGGATTACAGGCTTGAGCCACCGCGCCCGGCCAACGCTATACACGTTTGTCACACAGGGATGGCGGGTGTGCTTGTCAAGGATTTGAGACCAGCCTATGCAAGACAGCAAGATCCCTGCCTCTAAAATAAAAAATAAAATAAATGACAGTGTAGGCCGGGCACCGTGGCTCACGCCTGTAATCCCAGCACTTTGGGAGGCTGCGGTGGATGGATCATGAGGTCAGGAGTTCAAGACCAGCCTGGCCAACATGGTGAAACCCTGTCTCTACTAAAAATACAAAAATTAGATTCTTTAAATATCCATTAATTAAATAAAGATCCATAAATATCGAGCCTGGGCTCTGGAACCAGATGGATGGGTTCAAATTCCATCTCTGTCCTTTAGGAGCTGTGTAACCTTAGACCAGTGACTTAACCTCTCTGGTTTCAGTTTCCTAAACTACTGAACAGGGGTTTATTTAGCAAACAGTAGTAGTATTCAGCAAATGGTAAATGTCTACTTTGTGCCAGGTATATTCTAGGTGCTGGGGACACAGCTGTGAACAAAACAGACAAAAACGCCTGCTCTTAGCCACGCATGGTGGCTCACGCCTGTAATTCCAGCACTCTGGGAGGATTCCAGTACTCTGGGAGGAATTCCCCAAGGTGGGTGGATTGCTGGAGTCCAGTTCAAGACCAGCCTGGGCAACACAGCAAAACCCCAACTTTACTAAAAATACAAAAAATTAGCCGGGCCTGGGAGTGCATGCCTATAGTCCCAGCTACTCAGGAGGTTGAGGTGGGAGAATCACCTGAACCTGGGAGGGTGAGGCTGCAGTGAGCTGAGATCACACCACTGCACTCTAGTCTGGGCAACAGAGAGAAAAAACAAACAAACAAACAAAAACAGGCATGGTGGCTCACGCATGTAATCCCAGCACTTTGGGAGGCCGAGGCGGTGAATCATGAAGTCAGAAGTTGGAGACCAGCCTAACCAACATGGTGAAACCCCGTCTCTACTGAAAATACAAAACTTAGCTGGGTGCAGTGGTGCACGCCTGTAATCCCAGCTACTCGGGAGGCTGAGGCACGAGATTCGCTTGCACCTGGGAGATGGAGGCTGCAGTGGGCTGAGGTCGTGCCACTGCACTACAGCCAGGGTGAAAGAGTGACAGCCTGCCTCAAAAATAAATAAATATTAAAATCAAGGAAGTTGTAGTGACAGCCTGCCTCAAAATAAATAAATAAACAAAAGTAAAAATTAAAAATTAAAATCCAGGAGGTCGTACATATAAAGCAGCACATGGACAGTGCTCAGTAAAGTATCACTCCTCTGATTACAGAATTAGCTGGTGCACTTCTCCAGAAGGAGCCATGGGAGGGTGACCCAGGCAGGGGAACGGCCTATACAAATCTCTTGAGGTGTGAAAGCATCAGACCCTGTTAGAGCTGAGGATCAGACGTGCCAGTTCCTGCCACCTCCTTCTAGAGTCACTCCTGAAAAAGGCAGATGGAGTAAGGCTGAGGGGTTAAGCATGATTTCACCCCCATCCTTCTGGCAGGGACTCCCACCCACATCACCTGAATGAAGTGCTGAAGCCTCAGGCCAGATAACATCTTCTCCCACTCTGTAAATACTTGTAAATGTAATCAATGAAGCAGTGAACAGGATTTCCTGGTTCTGCACCCTCGTTGGTCAAATGGGGAAAACCTCATGGCACTGGGGTGAGGATTCAGTGAGAGGCACACGGGAAGGGCTTAGCACAGAGCCCAGCACACAGTAGGTGCTCCATTATGGCAGCTCTGGTGATGCTCACCCGTGGAGACAGATGGCAACGCCAAAGGAACTTACGGGAACATCTGGACCAATAGAAATAAAGTCCAAACCCCAGCAGGGCCAGAACAACCAGGGGTCCCAGAATCAGGAGGAGGATGTTGTTCTTGGGCATGCCTGGGGGTTCACTGGAAGGTCCCTCTGAAAGAGAAGGAAACAGGTATTTAGGTAAGGAAACTCTTGGGGTTTATCCCTCATTCTTGAAATGGCATCTCAAATTTCCTTATGGAGCCACCACTCCACCTGCTTCAGTCTATTTGATTCAGGTGGACTGGATCCTACCCTCTGGTTGCTAGGATGGGACTTTGACACAGGCCTGGCCAATCAGAACATTCCATTCTCCCTGGCTGCTGTGATTGGTTCATAGGTGGGCTGTGGCCTAAGTTGGGCCAATGAGAGCCAGCCCTGGGACTTTGGCTACAGTTATTGAAAATGGCGTTTTTTTTCTCTCCTGCTGTTGCTATTCTGGTAGGATGTGAGCCTGTCATTGCTGAGGGCTATCTTGCTTCCCTGAGGACAGAGTCTTCCTGAGAATCAAGCCAGTACAACGAAAAGCAGAGATAAGAGATGTATAAAATAAAAGTTCCTGGATTAGATAGTTGGAACCCCTGTATCTAACCATACCTGAAGGTGACGTTTCAATAAACTCCTGGATTTTTGTTTGCTTTTTTTCTTAGACTACTTTGAGTTGTGTTTCTGTCAACTGCAATTGATAGAGTTCTGCCTACTACATTTGGAAAGGCCTGAGTCCCTGAGAGAGAGGGATTCCATATCTATCCCAACCTGGGTGTGCAGAGGGAGTGTATTCAGGTAGCTGAACAATGGTACCAGCGGTATAGGTATGGAGTTAACAGGAGAGTAAAGCTGGCCTCACTGGTCCTTTCGTGAGAAGGCTTAGGAGAAGGATGGGAGCCGGCTGCTGTGATTGGTTCACAGCATTGGAGAGGGAACCCTGCCGCGACCTCTTCCTTTGGTCCCTGTTCTCTCCACCCAGGGAGTTCCTCACCTTTGACCTGGACAGTCAGTTCTGCCTGGCGAGCTCCTAGGGCACTGGTGACGTTGCAGATGAAAGTAGTGTTGATTGACTTGTCCACAGGATGGATGAGGAGCTGGGCGCCCTGGGCCACAGCAGAGGGTGGCAGAGGACCCATGGTTCTGGGAGAGACAGAAGGGTTTCTGCTGCGAGTCTGGAGTGACAGTGATTGAGCACCCACTACTTGCCAGAAACCCTCATGCCCTCTATGATATAAGCCGAGAGCAATTCTGGAGGACCCCCCCGACCCCCGACTCTTCCCTTCCTCTCATGCCCACACCCAATCCATCAGCCAATCCTTAGGCCCCGCCCTAAGATCTATCCAGAATCCTACCGCTCCTCAGGGCTTCCACGGCTGCCTCCCTGCTCTGACCCGGTACATCCTGGCCCCCAGTAGCCGCCTCCACGCTGGGCTCCATTTCTGCCCTCGCCCCCTCGTCTGTTCCCCACTTGGCCACCAGAGGTCGCCTGTGAACCCTAAATCAGTTCCCATCCCTCAGCTCAGCACCCTCTGGTGGCTCAGCCTGGCTCAGAGTAAAACCGAACTCTCTCCTCTGTGTCACAGGCCCCACGTGATCTGGCCCCTGCTACCTCTGCCCCTGTTTTCCACGACCCTCCCCTTTGTTCCCGCCTCTGTATCCACAGTGGCCTTGCTGGTCCTCAAACTCTCCAGTTAGGTGTCCTGGGTGTTTGCTTATGCAGGGACTGATGGATAGAAATGGGTTTGCCTGGCCGGACTCAGTGGCTTACTTACGCCTGTAATCCCAGCACTTTGGGAGGCCGAGGCAGGTGGTTTACGAGGTGAGGAGTTCAAGACCAGCCTGGCCAAGATGGTGAAACCCCGTCTCTACTAAAAATACAAAAATTAGCCGGGCATGGTGGCCGACGCCTGTAAATCCAGCTACGCAGGAGGCTGAGGCAGAGAATTGCTCGAACCAGGGAGGTGGAGGTTGCAGTGAGCTGGGCCTGCGCCACTGCACTCCAGCCTGTGTGACAGAGTGAGACTCTGCCTCAAAAGAAAAAAAAGAAATGAGTTTGCCTATACTGTTCCCTCTGCTAGAATGCTTTGCCCCCACGTACCCACAGAGCTCACCCTCACCTCCTTCACCTTAGTAACATCTCACTTGGCCACCCTATTTCAGCTGTGATGACCACCCTTCCCATCCCCATTCTCTCTCTCTGCCTCTCTAATTTTATTATTTTTTGAGACAGGGCCTCACTCTGTCACCCGTGCTGCAGTGCAGTGGCACCATCTTGGCTCACTGCAACCTCTACCTCCTGGGTGCATGCAATCTTCCCACCTCAGCCTCCTGAGTAGGTGGGACTGCAGGTGCGTCCTCCCACACCCAGCTAAGTTTTGTCTCTTTTTTGGTAGAGATGGGGTTTCACTGTGTTGGCCAGGCTGGTCCCAAACTTCTGGCCTCAAGTGATCTTCCCGTCTCAGCATCCCAAAGTGCTGGGATTACAGGCATGAGCCATGGCGCCTGGCCCCCATCCCCTTTTCTGCTTTATCTTCTCCATGGTATTTATCACCATTGCACACACTCTACACACTTTACCACTTTATCTTGCTTCTTGTTGTTTTCCCCACTAGAATAGAAGCTCCATATGGGGAGGAAATCTGGTCTGTTTCATTGACTACTATATGCTGGTTAATTGCACCTGGCACACAGTAGTCATCAAGAAACACTAGTTTAATGAACAGAGGTAGAGATGGAAGTATTGGGCTTTGGGCACTCTGCAAAGCTGGGATGCAAACGCAGCCATCTGGCTCAAGAGGCTGAATTGTGGTGCTTTGAGGTAGGACAGTAAAGGCACCATCACACCATCAAAAACCTCTGACTGGCAATTCCTTCCGCTGACAACTGACAAATGACCACGGGGGATGGTCACCACCATGGCATTTGCAGAGTTGAAAATGGAAACTGACATCTGTGTCCTGTACTAGGGATGGTTAAATAACTGATGACATCCATGTATGTTGGAATCTCTTCCCTGCACTTTGGGAGGCCCAGGCGGGAGGACTGCTTGAGTTCAGGAGTTCAAGACCAGCCTGGGCAACATAGTGAGATCTCATCTCTATTTCTTAAATTTTTTTTTTAAAGGTGATGAAATCCCAGCAACATTAAAAAAGGGGCCCTGTTAGCCAAGCGTGGTGGTGTGTGCCCTGTAGTTCCAACTATCTGGGAGGCTGGAGGATCACTTGAGCCCAGGAGCTCAAGGCTTCAGTGAGCTGTGATTGTGCCACTGCACTCCAGCCTGAGCAACAGAGTGAGGCCTTGTTTAAGAAAAAAAAAAAAAAAAAAAAAAAAAGAACAAAGCAGGGGAGCTGAGGGTGCTTTGAAATGCATAATATGATTGATGGGTGAATAGAGGGACAGAAGGAATCACAGAAATGTGATAAAGCAAGCAGAGTAAAATATTAGTGGGGGAATCCACATGGTGGAATCTTAAGTGTTCACTGGAAAATTAGGATTTTCCTGTATGTTTGACAATCTTCCTAATACAATATGTGGGAAATGGGCTTGTGGACCTGTGTGCTTTGAGATGGAAAGGTATTCACAAGATAGAGGAAAAGTTTCAAAATTATATGTATAGCATAATTCCAGTTTTTGTTTAGAAACACAGAGAAAAAAGACAGAAGGGTGTATAATAAGGGCCACTGGGTATTTCTGGAGGTGGCTGGGTACACTTGACTAGAGGTGCTGCTGTCTTCTTTTTGCTCATAACTCAATGGCCTGACATTTCTACAGCGGACACGAGTTATTTTTGTAATAAGGAAAAAGGCCTAAGGCTGGGCAAGGTGGCTCACGCCTGTGATCACAGCATTTTGGGAGCCTGAGGTGGGTTGATTGCTTGAGCCCAGGAGATTGAGACCAGCCTGGGCAATGTGGCAAAACCCTGTCTCTGCAAAAAATACAACAAAATTAGCGGAGTGTGGTGGCCCATGCCTGTAGTTCCAGCTACTCAGGAGGCTGAAGTGGGAGGATCACTGAGCCCAGGGAGGTTCAGGCTGCAGTGAGCTATGATCATGGCACTGCACTCCAGCCTGGGTGACAGAGCCCCAGCCCCTCCTCCCTCAGATCCTGAAGTCCAGGCCCTCAGTCCCTCCTCCCTCAGACCCAGGAGTCCAGGACCCAGCCCCCTCCTCCCTCAGACCCAGGAGTCCAGACCCCCAGCCCTTCTTCCCTAAGACCCAGGAGTCCAGGCCCCCAGCCCCTCCTCCCTCAGACCCAGGAGTCCAGGCCCCAAGCCCCTCTTTCCTAAGACCCAGGACTCACGTGCTCCACTCATAGCCTGTGGGCTCTGGGTTGCTGTGAGCGTCGCAGGTCAGGCTGGCCTCAGTCTGGCCAAGGTACCAGTTGCCATCATAGCCAGAAATGGATACCTCTGGGGGATCTGCAGGAAGTGGACACAGAGGTTCAGAGACAGGGAGCCTTTGGTGGGCCTAGGGCTATGTGGGATTCACATTACTGCAGGAAAAGGTCTGGACATGTTTGGGGAACAGTGGGAGCTGGAGAGGCCTAGGAGGGGTCTAGGGAGATGGGGTGCCACAGAGAGCAGAAGCCTGGGAGTCCCTGGTCAGTGGGGACATGGAGAAGGCTTCTGAGGACCTGCTTTTCTCCACCAGCTTTCCTAGGTAGCCTGGTCCAGGTATGTGTTGGGTGTCCTGCGGGAAAAAGCCTCCTTGTCTCACTCATAGGCAACTGTCACTCGTAACACACAGCAGTGTATTCAAGGCTCTGACAAGTCCTGTGGGAAAGGGTCCTGGATAAATCACCCTGCTCTAGGGAGCTGCTCAGCCATCCCAGACATGACTGACAGCGAAGATCCTTCAGCGTCCTCAGGAGGAAGGTCAGCAGGACAAGGTTTGTTGGGGGGTGAGGGGTAGGAGTCAGCATGGAGGGACTCCAGTATAGACAGCACATGAGGGAATCTGTGTACCAATTGCCTGGCGGGGGAGCAGGCAGTATAAACAAAGATGGAAGGAACAGTATGGATGATGCCTAGAAGAGCTTGTGTGGATATTAGTGACAGGCTCAGTGTAGACCTGGTGTTAGAATATCACAGCAGGTGCTATAATGTCCGGCCAGTGTTCAAAATGCTGGGGTGGGGGTGAGATCACTCCCATATATAGAGTGTGTCCCAGGGAGCTGGTGAAATTAAAACAGGCTCTGTGTGTGTGTGTGTCTGTGTGTGTAGACAGTATTTGGATGAGCCAGTATAGACGATGTGGGAGCTTAGTCTAGATCTATGCTCTCCAATATGGAACCTACTGGCAACATGTGACTACCGAGCCCTGGAAATATGGCCAGGCTGAAATACACACCCAATTTCAAAGGCTTACTAGGGCAAAATAAATGGGAGAGATCTCAAGAAAAAAAATTAGAAACGAATTACAAGTTGAAATAATATTTTGGGTATATTGGGGTAAGTAAAGGCAACTATTAAAATTAATTTTGGTCAGGCACAGTGGCTCATGCCTGTAATCTCAGCACCTTGGGAGGTCGAGGCAGGAGGATTGCTTGAGCCCAGGAGTTTGGGACCAGCCTGGGCAATATAGGGAGATCCTGTCACTACAAAAAATACACTAGGCTGGGTGCAGTGGCTCACGCTTATAATCCCAGCACTTTGGGAGGCCAAGATGGGCGAATCACATCAGGAGTTCGAGACCAGCTTGGTCAAGATGGTGAAAGCCTGTCTCTACTAACAATACAAACATTAGCCAGGCATGGTGGTGGGCGCCTGTAATCCCAGCTACTGGGGAGGCTGAGGTAGGAGAATCACTTGAACCTGAGAGGCGGAGGTTGCCGTGAGCCAAGATTGCACCATTGCACTCCAGCCTGGGCAACAGAGCAAGACTCTGTCTCAAAATAAATAAATAAATAAAAATAAATTAGCTGGGCATGGTGTCACATGCCTGTGGTCCCAGCTACTCAGGAGACTGAGGCTGAGGTGGGAGGATTGCCTGAGCCCAGGAGGTCAAGGCCGCAGTGAGCTGGCCACCACACTCCAGCCTGGGTAACAGAAGAAGAACCCATCTCAGATAAATAAACAGATAAGTAAATACGCAAATCAATTTCATCTCTTTCTTGTAATTTTGTAATGGATAGCTGCTGGAGAATTTAAAGTCCTCTATGCAGATTGCATGCTATTTCTGTTAGACAGCACTGGTGAGAGAGTGCCTGGGGCTATCAGTGGAGATAAATGTGTGGGTGTCAATGTCAATGGCACCATGAGGGAGCTAGTGGAGGTGACGCTGTGCAGGAGAACCAGGACAGACGGTGTGAGGGGGCTGTGTAGGCCAGTGTGGCGATGGGGGGTGAGACTGGACAGCCTGTAGATGAGCCAGTGTAGACAATACTGGGCAGGGCGATGTGTAGACTACACTAGGGGGCTAGGCTTCAGACACTGCTCAGGTTGGCCAGCACACACAATGTGGGAAGATCAGTGCAGCCAGCACCCAGGGGAGACCGTCGATCGTGGCTCAGGGGAACCGGTAGATACAGTGTGGGAGGTGAATGCAGACAGTTCCCCAGGGAGGCAGTGTAGACAATGGGAGGGGGCACTTTAGAGAGTGCCTACGACTGGGCGCGGTGGCTCACGCCTGCAATGCCAGCACTTTGGGAGGCTGAGGAGGGCAGATCACGAGGTCAGGAGATAGAGACCATCCTGGATAACATGTCAAAACGCCATCTCTACTACAAATACAAAAAATGTGCCTGTAGTCCCAGCTACTTGGGAGGCTGAGGCAGGAGAATGGCTTGAGCATGGAAGGCGGAGGTTGCAGTGAGCCGAGGTCACCCCAGCCTGGGTGACAGAGTAAGACTCTGTCTCAAAAAAAAAAAAAAAAAATGCACAAGGGAGTGGGTGTAGACAATGAGGGAGGCAGTGCTGACAGTGGCCAGGAGAGCCAACGCGGGGAAGGTCATTGTGGATAGTTGCCTGGGGAAGCAGGTATAGCCAATGTTTGGGGGCAGTGCAGACTGTGCTCAAGGGAGTCAACAGAGTGTGCCAGTGTAGACAGTGGCTAGAGGAGCCACAGTCACACCAGTAATCCCAGTTACTCGGGAGGCTGAGGCAGGAGAATTGCTTGAACTCAAGAAGCAGAGGTTGTGGTGGGCTGAGATTGCACCTCTGCACTCCAGCCTGGGAACAGAGTGAGATTCTGTCTCAAAAAAAAAAAAAAAGAGGGCAGACAATGTGGGTGTCAGCATTGACTGTGGCCCAATTAGCTGGTGTTGACAATAGGGGCAGTGATGTTTATGGCCCAGGGGAGCTGGTGTAGACAGTGGGGGTGGGCCGTGCAGACAGTAGTCAGGGGAGCCTGTGCAGATGATGGAAGCAATGCCTACAGTGCCTTGGGGAGTCAGTGTAGACAGGGGTGGGGGCGGCCCGGCAGGGGTTCTCGCCGTGGCTGACTTGGGCACACTCACAGTACACGGTGAGGTTCACAGCCAGCAGCTGAGGCTTCTCGAAGCTCTCATGCTCTACTCTGCAGGTCACATTCTTGCCATCCACCTGGCTTGAGGGCACCAAAATCCAGAGGCTGGTGACGGTGACTGTGCCAGACAGGAGCCCTGGCTCCTGGCTCATATTGGCCATCCCGCCCAGGTCTGAGTACCAGGTGATTCGGGCAGGCGGGCGACCCCCTGTGGAGATGCATCGGGCCACGGGCACAGGCTCTCCGGTGAGCTGGACGTTCTGAGCCTCAGCTGTGTTCTGGGGCTTGGCTAAGAAGAGGAACAAAAGCAACAGGGCATCCAATGAACCCCTCCATGGTAGAAGAGGGGGAATCATTAAGGGTACAGGATGGTATGGTGGCTGGGCATGGTGGCTCACACCTGTAATCCCAGCACTTTGGGAGGTTGAGGTGGGTGGATCACTTGAGGTCAAGAGTTCGAGACCAGCCTGGCCAACATGGTGAAACTCTGTCTCTACTAAAAATACAAAAATTAGCCAGGGTATGGTGGCACATGCCAGTAATCCCAGTTACTTGGGAGGCTGAGGCTGGATAGTTGCTTGAAATCAGGAGACAGAGGTTGCAGTAAGCCAGGATTGCGCCACTGCACTCCAGCTGGGCAACAGAGCGAGATTCTGTCTCAAAAAAAAAAAAACCACAAAAATGTACAGGATGGCATGGTTCAAACCCCAGCTCTGTCCCTGAGCAGCTGGGTGGCCTTGGGCAAGTCTGTGCCTCAGTTTCCTTGTCTGTCAACAGGAGATAATGATGGGATCACAGGCATGAGAATATTCTGGTAAAGCTCTAAGAACGGTACTTGGCACATAATAAGTGCTCAATAAATATTATTTGGTGGAAAGTGCTGGGGCCCAGCAGTGACCAAAATAACCCTGGTTCTGCCCTTATGGGTACTCAGTCCAAGGGGCAGAAATACTCTTTTCCAGGCAGTGATGACTTGGAAAAGGCAGGGCTGGGACGGGGAAACCCAGAGGGGGTTATCCTAGTCTGGTGCTCAGGGGAAGAGAGGAAGCCTGAGCTCTGAAGTTGAGAAGGGAAGTGTCTTGCCCACGGTCACATAGCTATAAGCAGCAGAGCTAGACTTTCACATAAAGTCTGTTCGACTCCAAAACCACCTTGACCATCTCTTAATCATCATCCTGGTGATTCCCAAACCTGGGACTTCCTTCCCCATCATTACCTGTATTATTATTTACCCAAGGTTTCTCCTTAACTTGACTCACTGTTTCTGTTTTACCTCATCCTATAAACCATGATACCCAGAATCCCAGGCTTGTTGGAGTGACAAGAGTTGCCTTTGATTGGAAGCTGTGTGCCCGTTGCAAACCCTTGAAATTTCATGAATTGCTCATGCACAAGCCTGGAATAGTTCCTGGCACATAAACTTAAAAACCAAACACCAGCAACGAAAAAGGCAGGCATGGGGGCACATTCCTGTAATTCCAGCTACAGGGAGGGCAGGAGCATTCCTAGAAACCAGGAGTTCCTGGCTGCAGTGAGCTATGATCACACCACTGTTCTCCAGCCTGGGCGACAGAGCAAGACTCTGTCTCAAAAAAAAAAAAAAAAAAAAAAAAAAAAAAGAGTCAGTTATTTTGAATCCTTATGGTGATCCCCATCCCACAGATGAGGAAACTGAGGCACAGAGACTTCTTGCTCAAGTTCCAGGAGGATGGCCTCATGGAGCTCAAGAAAATGAACGCATGACCCCCTCCTCTTTTGGGTATGAGGATCTTTGCTGTTCTGTCTGTTTCAACTTTCTCCTTCTTCACTAAATAAAGTAACAGTAACTGACAACTCTAAGGAGCTCACATGGGCCATGAAGCACCTCTGCTCTAAGCCTTCACCCGGACACTCATGACAGCTTTCCAAGAGTGATGCTATTGTCACCAATCCTTTTACAGATGAGGAAAGGAGGGACCCAGAAGCCGCCACCCAGGCCTCCTCCCTTCCCAGTGCCCTCCCAGCCCCCTTTCCAATATGCTCCTTCCCCTCCCTCAAGGTGTTCTGATCCCAGGCTTGGGGGTCCTTCCTCCCGGTGATCTTTCCTCTCTTCCTGCCCTGTAGCCCCTCCACTGCTAGCCTCCCCCACTCCACCCCTCATCATTGCCCTGCCCTCTCCTTTAGTCCCAGGGAATCCGCTGTGGAGGGAATCTCCCTCCCTCCCGGGCCTTCCCGCTCTGTACCTACCTCCCTGATCCTCCCACCAAATCTCCGCCTTTCATTCAGCCCCTGCCCCCAACGCGCCCCCGCTCACCGAACACTCGGAGCCAGGTAACCGCGCTCCTGCTGCCCTGCGGGAACATGACGAACAGGCAGGTGTAGTTGCCTTCATCCTCGGCGCGCAGCTCCAACACCCTCAGCGAGGCATCCCACAGTTCCGCCCCTAGCCTGGCGGCCACGAATTCCAGCCGTTCGGACTCCGGGTAGTTGGGACCCTGAGTACGGTGGAAGACGGCCACGCTGCGGGAGTCACTGAGCCGCGTCCAAGTCAGCTGTGACACGTGCGTCACCTCCGTGCTGGGCAGCTGCAGCTGGCAGGGCAGCGTCACGGAGTCGCCCAAGAAGCCGTGCACCTGGGTGGGCGCCTTCAGGACGATGTCTCCTGCGGAGAACCGAAGAGAAGGTGTCAGATCGGGGGCGTTCCAGGGCCAGATAGGGAGGGGCTCCGGGAGGGCTGGCACCCGGGCATGCACTGGCACGCTGGGACCCTGGATCCCTGGTGGGCGGTGGGAGGTGGGGAGAGGGGGAACTGGGGCACAACTTGGGGTTATGACAGGCGAGGAGGGTTAGGGCGTCTGGGATGGTCATGCCCTTTCACTTTTTGGCTATTTATTATCATATTTCCTCTATTATTACCGTATTTGCCTCAATCTCGGCATCATCGATTTTAAAAATTGTGGTAAATACTGTGGTTTAAAAAATTAAATTTACCGCCGGTGCGGTGGCTCACATCTGTAATCCCAGCACTTTGGCAGGCTGAGGTGGGCGGCTCATAAGGTCAGGAGTTCTAGACCAGCCTGGCCGACATGGTGAAACCCAATTTTACTAAAGATACAAAAAATTAGCTAGGCGTGGTGGCGAGAGCCTGGAATCTCAGCTCCTCGGGAGGCTGAGGCAGGAGTATCGCTTGAACCCAGGAGCCGTAGGTTTCAGTAAGCCTAGATCTCACCATTGCACTCCAGCCTGGGTGACAGGGCCAGACTCCACATTAAAAACAAAAAATACACACACACACACACACACACACACACACACACACACTAAATTTACCATTTAAGCCATTTAAAGCACACAATTCAGTGGCACTATGTACATTTCACGATGTTGTGCAACCACTACCACTGCATGGCTCCAAAACTTTTTCTTTTCTTTTCTTTTTTTTTTTCTTTTGAGACCGAGTCTCACTCTGATGCCAGGCTGCCAGAGTATAGTGGTGAGATCTTGGCTCGCTACAACCTCCGATGCCTGGGTTCAAACATTCTTCTGCCTCAGCCTCCCGAGTAGCTGGGACTACAGGGGCGTGCCACCAGGCATGGCTAATTTTTTGCATTTTTAGTATAGACGGGGTTTTACCACATAGGCCAGGAAAATCTCGTAATCTTGATCTTTTGACCTCGTGATCCGCCCGCCTCTGCCTCCCAAAGTGCTGGGATTACAGGTGTGACCCACCACATCTGGCCCAGAACTTTTTCATCACACCGGTGTTGCAGGTTTCACATACTATGACTGCTGTAATTTACAGCACAACTTGCTGTTCCCAATGTAGAAAACGGGGAGAACTCTTGGGTCTTCAAATCTGTGAAACACTGTATTACTCTGGGTGGGTCCTGGCTGGAAGAATGTAGGGGATAGTGGCACAAAAGGAAGGCAATTATAGGCCAGGAGTTTTGGGTTCCTTCAGATCTCTGCTGTGAGGTCTCAGGCAGGTTACTTAACCTCTCTGATTCTTTTTCCTAGTTAGTAAAATGAAACTTACAACAGCGGACATTCACAGGGTGCTGACACAGCTCAGGGGCTCTTCTGGGCACTTTACATACCTCTTGGCATTTGGTTTGTGAGGCAAACAGTACTGTTAGCATCATTTTACAGGTAAGGAAACTGACACACAGAGTGCAGTGTCAGCCAAGTCATATGGAGGTCTAGTGGCAGAGGTGGGATATGAACCTGGGTGGTCTGTAATCAGAGTCTGACCTCTGATCCCCTAGGTCCTATATGAAAATCTTTCTGCTAAGGGCCTTAGCACATGGTAGGTCCTAATATATGTCAGCTCTTATTGAGACTAATAAACATAGTCCTATTCATTCTTTTTAATTTTTAAATGTTCATTTAATTATTTTTGTAGAGATGGGGTCTTGCCATGTTGCCCAGGCTGGTTTTAAATTCCTAAGCTCAAGTGATCCTCCCATCTCAGCCTCCCAAAGTACTGGGATTGCAGGCATGAGCCACTGTGCCTGGCTGCAATCAGCCTGGGGAGAACAGCAAAACTCCATCTACAACAAAAACACAAAGAAATTAGCCAGGTGTGGTGGTGAACACCTATTATCCCAGCTACTCCAGATGCCAAGGTGAGAGGATCGCTTGAGCCCGGGAACTTGAGTTTGCAGTGAGCAGGGACTGTGTCACTGCACTCCAGCTTGGGCAACAGAGCAAGACCCTGTTTCTCTCTCTCTCTCTCTCTGTCTCACACACACACACACACACACACACACACACTATATATATATATATATATATACATATTTATGTACTCATTAAATATTGATAGCATATTATATAAATAATATGTTATAAATATATACTATATATTTAAAATAGTTAATAAATATACTATATAATATATAATATAAATTTATATAATATATATATTTATTAATAAATATATAACATGTAATATATAATTATATATAAAATTATAATATATAATATATATACTTATATTAGGAGTTTGAGACCAGTCTGGCCAACATGATGAATCCCTGTCTCTACTAAATATACAAAAAAATGGCTGGGTGTGGTGGCTCACGCCCGCAATCCCAGCACTTTGGGAGGCCAAGATGGGGCAATCACGAGGTCAGGAGTTCCAGACCAGCCTGGCCAACATGGCGAAACCCCGTCTCTACTAAAAATACAAAAAATTAGCTGGGCTTAGTGGCAGGCGCTTGTAATCCCAGCTACTCAGGAGGCTGAGACAGGAGAATCGCTTGAACCCGGGAGGTGGAGGTCGCAGTGAGCAGAGATAGTGCCACTGCACTACAGCTGGGCAACAGAGTGAGACTCTGTCTCAAAAAAAAAAAAAAAAAAAAGGTAAGAAAAAAAATTAGCCAGGTGTGGTAGCACATGCTACTCAGGAGGCTGAGGCAGGAGAATCGCTTGAACCCGGGAGGCGGAGGCTGCAGTGAGTCGGAGGCTGAAGTGAGTGGGGATCAGGACACTGCATTCCAGCCTGGGAGATGGAGTGAGATTGTCTCAAAAAAAAAAAAAAAAAAAAAAGAATGAATGAATGGCTCCCAAACATTGGGGTCAGAAGGGGAATGGTGTCAAGTGTCTCCCACTGTCCTCCTCCCCAACACCGACCATCCTCTCTGCCCAGACACAGCAGACTCAGCAGCATACCCAGCGGGAGTGTGGCCTGAGTGTGGTGAGCCGGAGCCTGAGTGAGGTAATTCGGCTTGAATCACCGTCTGCTGATTTTCCCTGATTCATTTGCCATTTTGGAAAAATTTCTGTACCCAACTCTATCCCCTTTCTGGGGGGGGGCGGGGCCCAGCCGGTGTTCTTACCAATTTCGAGGAATTTCTGTGCCCAACTAACTCCCACTGCCATCCAGGTGGCTAAGGCTAAGAGGAGGGTCCTGCCTTCGCCCCGTGTTCCTGCCGATTTCGAGGAAGTTCGAAGCCCAACTCAGGCAGCTATCCGGGTGGCTAAGAGGCGGGTCCTGCTCTCTCCCCGTGTTCCTTCCAACCCCAGGGCATAGATGGGGGTTCGGTGGCGCCGTCACCTTCGGGGACTCGGGGGGGCCGAGTGCCCAGTCGGGTTGCGGAGCTGGGAGTGAGGACGGGGCCGCCGGACTGCGCGGGGGTCACTCACCGGTTTCCGGGCGTGACGGGGACAGCACCAGCAGAGCCAGCAGCAGCAGCGGCGGCCACCCGGCGGCCGCCATGGCTTGGGCCGTACCAGCCACTCTGGGCAGCTGGGCCCCGGCGGGAGGGCCGCCTCCACGCTCCCCGGCGCGCTCGCTCTGCCGCAGCTCCTGTGAGTCCAGATCCCGGAGCTCGGGCCCTGGAATCCCCGCGGGGCGGCTCCCCCCCGTGCCTGGGAAGGGGAATACCCGCTTCTTTAAGCTCCCGACAAGTGACTGACGAGGAGGGGAGCTGACAGCCGGGTGCCCCCGCGCGCGGGGGCCCCAATCTGCGCATGTCTCTCCCGGCCCTCAGTCTGGAGACGGACGCTCGCTGGTTCCCTAGGTGCGCATGAGAAGAGGCGGCTTCTCGACGCCAACTTTCCAGAGGCGTGCGGACAGATTCAGCAACCGAGGCTCAGGGTTGCAGCGTGGCAGAGCCGAGGTTCCAACTCGTGATGGGACAGATCCTGAGCCCACCAGGCTGTGCTTCCAAGCAGCCCAAACCCGTGGGCTCTCATGTTGGGAAAATGGCTTCTCCTCGAGGGCCCTCTGATTCTTTACCTGAAAAATGGGCATAGTAGGGCGCAGTGGCTCGGGCCTGAAATCTCAGCACTTTGGGAGGCTGAGGCGGGAGGACTGTGGGAGCTCAGGAGTTAGAGGCTGCAGTGAGCCACCATAATGCCACCGCACTACAGCTTGGGTGACAAAACCTGACTTCGTTTCAAAAAAAAAAAAGTTGGGGGTTGGGGGCGCAGGCTCAGTGGCTGATGCTGGTAAGCCCAGCACTTTGGGAGGGCAAGGCGCGTGGATTACCTTAGGTCAGGAGTTCAAGACCAGCCTTGTCAACATGGCGAAACCCCATCTTTACTACAAATACAAATGGTGGCACATGCCTGTAGTCCCAGCTACTAGGGAGGCTGAGTCAGGAAAATCGCTTGAACCTGGGAGGTGGGGTTGCAGTGAACCGAGATCCGGCCTCTGCACTCCAGCCTGGGCGACAGAGTGAGACTCCATGTCAAAAAGAAAAAAGAAAAAGCATACTAACAGTACTTACCTCACATCGTGGCTTGTAAAAAGCTTAAACAAGAAACTGCTTAGCTCAATTTCAGGTCTGAACTAAGTAAAAAGCAGATATACCAACAATAGCAGCAGTAGCAGTGGCGATTATTATTATTGTTGCTTTACAGTTGCCATCAAAAAATAATGTTCATGAGAATTGTGATTCATTCAGTCTTCATTCAAGGTATATGTATTAAGCCAGCCAGTAACTCAGGCACTGGGGATACAGCAGAAAATAAGACAGACAAAAATCTCTGCCTTTAAGGAAGACTGTGTTCTAGTGGAAGGAAACAGACCATAAATAGATAAACACAGAGAACTCCATCATGTCTGGGGGAGATAAGTGTTATGGACCAAGCTGCAGTAGGGAGAGGGGAGGAGGGGGGGACAGAGAGATGAAGAAATGGGAGAGAAACAGAGAGACACACTCAGAGATAGGGACTGGGAGACAGAGACAGAGAGAGAGTAAAAGAGAGACACAGCATAGACAAGAGTGAGATGAGAGAGAAATGAGAGGTGAGAGAGATTGGGAGAGCCATACCCTCAGAGATGGAGCCTGAGAGACTTCCTGGTCCCGAGGCGTCTGTCCCAGCCAGGGTCTCCCTGAGGCCAACTAACAGCAGCTCTGGTCCCTCTTCTCTAACATCCTTATATCCTTTTTATTAAAAAAAATTTTATAGACAGGATCTCACTATTTCACTGAGGCTGGAGTACAGTGTCACCATCATTGCTCACTGCAGCCTCCACCCCCTGGGGTCAACTACTCCTGTCTCCACCTCCCCGGTAGTTTAGACCATAGGCGTATGTGATAACTCCTAGCTAGTTTTTAAATTTATTGTAAAGACGGTGTCTCGTTATGTTGCTCAGGCTGATCTTGAACACCTGGCCTCAAGCGATTCTCCCACCTTGGCCTCCCAAAGTGCTGGAATTACAGGCGTGAGCCACTGTACCCGGCCCCACATTCCCGTAGCTTTCTGTAAAGTCCCTCCTTTGGGTTTTGGCTGGCTCAGAGGTTTCTGTCCCCGGGTGCCCTCTTTGACTTGGATCTGATGCTTGCTCAAGACACATCTGATGGTTGGGGTCTCTCACCCTGGATGAATGTAGGTGAATTTCTAAATGGAAACATGGAGGCTGGTCTCTTGGAAATCTCTGAATTTTCTGTCACTCTTGTTCTGCTATTTCCAAATGGGGAATCTGTAGCCGTCATGTTCCTCCTCTGGACGATGCCGTCACCATCTGGGGTTCCCCCGCCTCTCAGGGCTCCCCAGCTCCTGTGGCTCCAGGGTATCCTCTCAGGTCCCAGAGGGTCAGAGGCTGCCCTGAAGAAGCAGGCTTACAAAAAAAAAAGCAAGTTCGGTTTGGGGCATATCTGCTTGCTTCTGTGTTTCTCTGTCAAGAGTCTAAATTCCTTGAGTATTTGGATCAGTTGTAAACATTTTCTTCACTCAAGTGCTAAAATATCCTCTGAATAAACAGTGAATGGACATCTCCAGTGGGTATCCTCTTTTTTTGTATTTGTTTATTTTGAGACGGAGTCTCGCTCTGTTACCCAGCCTGGAGCACAATGGCGCGATCTCAGCTCACTGCAACCTCCGCCATCCAGGCTCAAGCGATTCTTGCGCCTCAGCCTCCCAAGTAGCTGGGATTAGAGGCCTGAGCCACCATACCCAGCTAATTTTTTGTGTTTTTAGTAGAAATGGGGTTTCACCATGTTGGCCTGGCTAGTCTCGAACTCCTGAGCTCAGGTGATCCACCCTCCTCAGCCTCCCAAAGTGCTGGGATTACAGGCGTGAGCCACCGCGCCCAGTGGGTATCCTTTTTCATGCTGTGGTTTTCAAACCTCTGGATCCAAAAGGATCGCTAAGAAGCTTGTAAAAATATGAATCCATTTCCTTATTCTTCCCTCTCCCATTAAAAAAATAAAATGGTAGCATTGTTCCGTCTCTTTTACAAACCACCTCACATCGTGGTTTGTAAAAAGCTTAAACAAGAAACTGCTTAGCTCAATTTCAAGTCTGAACTAAATGGCTTAAACTGAACTAAACTTAGCAACAGGTCTGAACTAAACTTAGCAACATATCTTGGTGATTTTCCCATAGGCAGACATTGAGCTACCTCATTCACTCATTTATTTACAGATGTGTAGTAGGACATTGTGTGACTGCAGAGTCATTTTCGAAACTGTCCTCAGGGGATGGGCCTTTTTGGGTGTTTCCAGCTCTTTTGTATTTGCAGTCTGTGCTTCCCTGGGTCATTATGTCCATGGCATTTCCCATGTATGTGACAGCGTCTGTCATTTTTATTCCCAGAAACAGATTTGCTGGGTCAAAGGGCATGCATTCCTGGTTTAGATGATATTGCCAAATTGTTGTCCAGCCCCCAGGCCAGCAAAGTAAGGGCGTGGAGTGGCTTCTACCCAGGAATGCTCATGGCAGTGACTCAAAGTTTAAAAATTTCAGATGTGCAGCTGGGCATTGTGGTTCATGCCTGTAATCCTAGCACTTTGGGAGGCTGAGGTGGGAAGATTGCTGGAGGCCAGGTGTTTGAGACCAGCCTGGGCAACATAGCGAGAACCCCCACCATCTCTACAAAAAATTTAAAAATGAGCCAGGTGGGTGGCACATGCCTGTAGTCCCAGCTACTTGGGAGGTTGAGGTTGGAGGATCCCTCAAGCCCCAGAGTTTGAGGCTGCAGTGAGTGATGACTGCGTCACTGCACTCCAGCCTGGGTGATAGAGTGAGACTCTGTCCACCCCAAAAAGGAAAATGTCAGATGTGAAGCTTTGTCCAGAAGGGTGTGATGTAGGAGGCCTGGGAGCAGGGAAGAAAGGGAGAAAGACCTGGAGAGTAAGAAGAGAAGGCTGGGGATGAGGGCTCCAGAGACTCCCTTGGTTCAAATTCTGCTTCCACCCATTGGTTACTGGGAATCTTAAGCAACCTGTATTGCTTCTCTTGCCTCTTTTTTCTCATCCACAAAATAGGGGCTTTTAAAAACATGAGGTGATAATTAAGTAAGTTATTCAGAAACAAATTGTATGTGGCTGATCGTGGTGGCTCATGTCTGCAATCCCAGCACTTTGGGAGGCAGAGGTGGGTGGATCACTTGAAGTCAGGAGTTCAAGACCAGCCTGGCCAACATGGTGAAACCCTGTCTTTACTAAAAACACAAAAACTAGCTGGGCAGTAGTGGCATGAACCTGTAATCCCAGCTACTTGGGAGGCTGAATGACTTGAGCTGAGGAGGCGGAGATTGCAGTTAGCCAAGATCACACCACTGCATTCCAGTCTAGGTGACAGAGTGAGATTCTGTCTAAAAAAAAAAAAAAAAGTATGTGGTTTAAAAAGTTATTTATTTAACTGCTGAACAAATGGCAGCAATTATTATTCATGTTTCCTGGGACTTATGATTCTTCATCTGAAAAGGGTGGGCATGGCATGGCACAGTGGCTCAGACCTGAAATGTCAGCACTTTGGGAGGCTGCGGCGAGAGGACTGTTTGAGTCCAGGAGTTAGAGGCTGCAGTGAGCCACTAACTTGTTTCTGATCAGGGGTGCCTTATTACCTTGCTGGGCACTCCTGATTAGGAACTACTGCCACAGGCAGTAAGGAGCTATAGAGAGTTTTACGCAGGGCAGCGGCTGCATCAGAGCTAAATCTCATGTTCCTCACACAGAAAATGGTAGTGATGGCCGGGCGTGGTGGGTCACACCTGTAATCCCAGCACTTTGGGAGGCCAAGACGGGCGGATCACAAGGTCAAGAGAATGAGACCATCCTAGCCAACATGGTGAAACCCCATCTCTACTAAAAATATAAAAATTAGCCTGACGTGGTGGTGCCTGCGTACAGTGCACCTGCAGTAGTCCCAGCTACTCAGGAGGCTGAGGCAGGAGAATAGCTTGAACCCAGGAGGTGGAGGATGCAGTGCTGAGATCATGCCACTGCACTCCAGCCTGGACAACAGAGCGAGACTCTGTCTCAAAAAACAAAACAACACAAAACAAAACAGAAAAACAAGAAAATGGTAGTGAGTTTGTCATTCTTTAGGAACGAGTCTGTGTCACCTACCAGGCTGTAAGTTTCACGGCAGCTAGTCCAAGGCTGTGTAACTCATGTCCTGCCCTCTTTATGGTGCCACTGTGGTGAGAGACAGAGAATGGGGTTGATGGTTTTGGTAGGGCAAAGCTTTCATCTTCTGTACTCTGAGGATACGTATGTAAAAGCTGGAAAAGAAAACCCTGGAAACATAAGCTTGCTTGTCCTTCCCCAATAGCCTGCGGCCATGGAGAAGCACGTCCCCTCTCTCATTTCCCTCCCGTCCCCGCACCGTGCCCACATCTACCTGGGGTGTAGAGGTGCCTCACCATGGTTGTTTTCCTTCTTTCTCTCCCTCCACATCTCTGGCTCTTTCTTTCCTTTTTTTTTTTTTTTTTTTTTTTTTTTTTTGTGAGAGTCTTGTTCTTCAGGCTGGAGTACAGTGGCCAATCTCATCTCACTGCAACCTCCACCTCCTGGGTTCAAGCGATTCTCCTGCCTCAGCCTCCTGAGTAGCTGGGACTACAGGCGCATGCCACCATGCCCAGCTAATTTTTGTATTTTTAGTAGAGACAGGGTTTCACCATATTGGCCAGGCTGGTCTCAAACTCCTGACCTTATGATCCACCCGCCTCCGCCTCCCAAAGTGCTGGGATTACAGGTGTGAGCCACCGATCTCTGGCTCTTTCAAGGCCCAAGGAAGGAAATGAAACCTGCCCTCACAGTCTGCTGCTACCACAGATGACATGGATTGACACCCTGTTGCAGGTATTGTTGTCAGGACAGTGTTCATGTTCTTGAGGCTGGATGACTAAATCCTGAGGCCTCTGGCTTTTGAGGACAGCTCTGACATCGCTTCCCCTTTCCCTTTCCCCATCAGCCAGTGGAACCCTGGCAGCCACTCTAAACAAACCATGTGTTCTCACCTTCAGGCATTAGAACTTGCTGGGCCCTCTGGCCAGAACGTTCCCCCCACCCCCACCATTCTTCATCTGATTAATTGTTACCATATTTCAGATCACAGTTGAGCCACCTGTTCCTCCAGGAAGCCCTCCTGGACACCTGGGCTGGGCAATGCCTCCTCTGGTCTCCCCAGCCCTCTAAGCTTCTGTGTCCCAGTCCTGCCCACTCTGAGTCTGCCATTCTCTAGGGACGGGGAGGTCTGTGTCACTTACCAGGTGGTGAGTTTCTTTTTTCTTTTTTGTTGAGACAGAGTCTTGCTCTGTTGCTAGGCTGAAGTGCAGTGGGCGATCTCGGCTCACTGCAATCTCCGTCTTCCGGGTTCAAGTGATTCTCCTGCCTCCAGGCTGTGAGTTTCATGGCACTAGGGCCAAGGTTGCGTAACTCATACTAGGAAGTGACTATTCAATTTCCCCATCTGTAAAATGGAGCTAATGATAGCACCTGCTTTCTAGGGTTCAGAGACATAAATGAGGATGATGCATTAAAGCTCTTTGGTGCAATGCCTGGTAAATATCACTCTGGAGACCTGGCTCCTCTTTTAAAAAATTAAAAAAAAATTTTTTTTTGGGACACAGTCTTGCTGTGTCGCCCAGGCTGAAGTGCAGTGGCATGATCTTGGTTCACTGCAACCTCTGCCTCCCAGGTTCAAGCGATTCTCATGTCTCAGTCTCCCGCGTAGCTGGAACTATAGGCACTTACCATCACACCTGGCTAATTTTTTGTATTTTTAGTAGAGACGAGGTTTCACCATGTTGGCCAGGCTGGTCTTGAACTCCTGACCTCAGGTAATTCACCCACCTCAGCCTCCTGAAGTGCTGGGATTACAGGCGTGAGCTACCTCAACCCGCCAAAATTTCTCAGTAACCCACCCTTTAATTAGCATGTCATTACAATGGGTTTAAATATGACTGCAAAAACTGCCCCTGAGCTGCTTACAGGGTATCTCTGCTCTGCGGGAACAGTCACAGAGCTGTAACACAGCCACCTCAATACAGCTGTTTTCTTTTTTTTGTTTTTTGTAGAGATAGGGTCTCACTATGTTGCCCAGGCTGGTCACGAACTCATGGGCTCAAGCAATCCTCCCACCTCAGCCTCTCATAAGTGCTGAGATGACAGGCGTGAGCCACTGTGCCTGGCCAAAGCTGTTTTCTTCTGCTACTTGCTCGCTCTTGGATTCTTTCCCAAGCAAAGCCAAGATCCTGCCCTGCATCAATACATCATGGCACATATGGCTGCCAGGGAGGCAGAGAATGCCTGTCCCAAGACATCATGACACACACAGATACCAGGGGGGCAGAGAGTACCTGTGCCAGAGACGTCCAAACCAGGGTGGCTCCATCTTAAATAAAGGCCAAGTAAGAAAAAACCTTCTGAGTTACATTCCCAGGAAGTTGAACACTCTTGGTCCCAAGATATTTATCTTTCAGGGAACAAGTTAATGGTACTTACTCACTAAACCAAGAACTTAAAGAAATGTCTTGGTGTCCTGATACCTTAAGCACAAAACACACTGCTAGATTAAGAATAGGTGTTGCTTGAGCTGAGCATGGTGGCTCACGCCTGTAATCCCAGCACTTTGGGAGGCCAAGGCGGGTGGATCATGAGGTCAGGAGTTCAAGACCAGCCTGGCCAACATAGTGAAACCCTGTCTCAACTAAAAAAAAAAAAAAAAAAAAAAAAAAAAACAACAACAAAACTAGCCAGGCGTGGTGGCGGGTACTTGTAGTCCCAGCTTCTGGGGAGGCTGAGGCAGGAGAATCCCTTGAACCCAGCAGGTGGAGGTTGCAGTGAGCCGAGATCGCACTACTGAACTCCAGCTTCGGCAACAGAGTGAGACTTTGTATCAAAAAAAAAAAAAGACTAGGTTTTGCTTGAAAGGTAATAGCATATCCATAAATTCTTGCTGAAATTAATAGTTACACAAAAGAATAACAATGCTAAAAACCTGTCACAAGCTGATCACAAGCCTTTGTAATAAAGCAGGTAAGAACATTATTTGGCCTGGTGTGGTGGCTCAGGCCTGTAATCCCAGCCCTTTGGGAGGCAGAGGCAGGCAGATCGCTTGAGCCCAGGAATTTGAGACTAGCCTGGGCAATGTGGCAAAACCCTGTTTCTACAAAAATACAAAAATTAGCCTGGCATGGTGGCACGTGCCTACAGCTACGATCTCACCTACTCTGGAGGTGGAGGTGGGAGGATTGCTTGAGCCTGGGAGGTTGGGGCTGCAATGAGCTGAGATTGCACCACTGCCCTTCAGCCTGGGTGAGACAGCGAGACCGTCTCAAAAAACAAAAACAAAAAGCATTATTCTTAGTTCTGTCATCCTATATAAGCAAGCGTTGTATCTGAGGTGGGGGCATTCCTCCTCTTTCTTTCTGAGGACATCCTGCTCTGTAATAGAATAGTCTCTAATAAGCTATTTTAACTTCACAGTATGCTGTGATTTGCCCTGAATTCTGTCTTGTGTGAGACCCAAGAGCCTGCTCCTGGGGTCTGGGTTGAGATCAGTAACATCTGAAGACAGAATAAATTAATTTTTCTGTTTTTGTGTCATATCTAGATGCAAATATGTGATATCTACTTAGTTACAGATTAACCAGAACAGGTGCCAGGTGTGGCTTCTCAATTTTTTTTCTTTCCTTCTTTCTCTTTTTCCTTTTTCTTTCCTTTCTCTCTTTCTTTCTTCCTTTCCTTTCCTTTCTCTGTCTCTCTCTCTCTCTTTCTCTCTTGAGACAGACTCTTGCTCTATTGCCCAGGTTGGAGTGCAGTGGTGCAGTCTTGGCTCACTGCAACCTCTGCCTCCCAGGTTCAGGATATTCTCCTGCCTCAACCTCCTGAGTAGTTGGGATCACAGGCACCCACCATCACATCTGGCTAATTTTTGTATTTTTAGTACAGAGTTTCGCCATGTTGGCCAGGCTGGTCTCGAACTCCTGACTTCAGGTGATCTACCTGCCTCAGCCTCTCAAAGTGCTGGGATTACAGGCATGAGCCACTGTGCCCGGCCCTCAATTTTCTTATGTTATGTCTCTTACTTTTTGTTTTGAGACAGAGTCTTGCTTTGTCTCTCAGGCGAAAGTGCAGTGGTGTGATCTCTGCTCACTGCAACTTCTGCCTCTTGGGTTCAATCTATTCTCATGCCTCAGCCTCCCAAGTACCTGGGACTACAGGTGCCCACTACTACACCCTGCTAATTTTTGTATTTTTATTAGAGATGAAGTTTCACCATGTTGCCATGCTGGTCTTGAATTCCTGACCTCAAGTGATCCACCTGCCTTGGCCTTCCAAAATGCTGCGATTACAGGCGTGAGCCAGCACATCTGGCTAACGTCTCTTAATATTTTTTGCTTTTTTTTTTTTTTTGAGTCAGAGTCTCGCTCCGTCACCCAGGCTGTAGTGCAATGGCCATGATCTTGGCTCACTGAAACCTCTGCTTCCTGGGTTCAGGTGATTCTCCTGCCTCAGCCTCCCGAGTAGCTGGGATTATAGACATGTGCCTCCACGTCCGGCTGATTTTTGTGTTTTTAGTAGAGATAGTGTTTCACTATGTTGGCCAGGCTGGTCTGAAACTCCTGACCTCAGGTGATACACCTGCCTCGGCCTCCCAAAGTGGAGGGATTGCAGGTGTGTGCCCCTGCGCCCGGCCGGCTATGATGCATTAATCACTTAAGGTGAATAGTCAATGGCTGACACATGGAGAGCGCTCAACAGACAAGACGTGGACTCAGGTCTGCTACTATTACTGCTAAGCATAATGCTGCTTAGGTGATTGTCTTGGTCACAGAAGCACTGAATGTTCCTCAGATGTGAGCTGTATCCCCAGAGGAGTTCCAACCACACTTGCGTGCTCTGTGCCTGCCATCTGTCGGGATCCTCTGCTGGAGGGGTATTAAACGTGAGCAACGCCAAGCTCAAAGGTTGATCTTATTTGCAAACACACCACGGATTTCTGGGAACCATCTCCCCACTTCTCAGGAAGAGAGGCTTCATGAGAAACCACTCAGACCTGGTGGTGTTTTTATTTATGTTTTGGTTCTTTATGAAAAAGAGCAAAAAGAAAAAAAAGAGCAGCATGTGTAATAGACATATTTTGGGGTCTGGGCAATTTCCCAGGTAAAACCTCCCACCTGTTTTCTAAGCACTGAGCTTCCACAGACAGGGAAGAGCCCATGGTGCTTTGCTTGCACAACGTGTCACAGCGATGGGACCACGGATGGCACCGGGTCAACCCATCAGATGCTTTCTTCAGGTGTTACAGAAACAGGACAAACGGAGTCTGGTTAAGCTGGGTTGTTCCCTTGAACAGAGATGTTGTGGACTTGGAAGCTATGGGATGGAGGCTTTTTCCACGTGGACAGAGAAGTACAAAGTGCCCACCTGCAGAGAGAGAGACGGAGAACTACGAATTCCACGTGTAGGGGAAAAAGACTGGTAAGGGCTTGGGGTGGGGGTGAAGTGTGTGGGCGGGGGAGGCAGGGAGAGAGAGCAGTGTACTTCCACATTTGTTGGTAGATTGCAAAATAGGCCACGGATTTTTCCCTTCCTAGTAAGAGGCGGAATCAACTTCCCCACCCCTTGAATTTGGCCAGCCACGTGACTTTCGCCAATGAAGTCCCTTCTGTGGCAGAAGTGATGGCATGCCAATTTTGAGTTGAGACTTGAGGGGCCTTGTAGTTTTTGCTCTTCCTCTTGGAATCCTGTCTCTGCCATGTGAACAAGCTTGGGCCACTCTGCTGGAGGATCAGAGACAATGTGGAGGAGAGGCCAGTTGTCCCAGCTATGAGGCTATCCTAGTCCAGATAGCCCCTGGGCAATCTGCCAACTGAGCCCAGATGCAGGAGCGAGCCCTGCAGAGAACAGAAGAACTGCACAGCTGAGGCCAGCCCAAATGGATGACCCATGAAACTGCAAGCTAAATAAATGGCTGATTCAAGCCACTAAGTTTTGGGGAGGCAATCTGTTACACAGCAGATGCTGACTGTCACACCTATGGATTGCTGGAAAATTTCAAAGATCCTCATATTAAACTGTTCATTTTGTTTCTTCCTGAGCTACTGTAGTGAGTTTCTTTTGCAGGCAGCCCAAGGGGTTTATGAAATATAAACTGCTTGTTTAGGCAGCTTCCAGGCTTGTGCTGAGGTGGGAAGATGGGGTGCTGGCAGTTGGCAAAAGGAGAGAAAAGCACCTCCCAGAGCTTTCCACGGGAGGGGAACATCTCACAGACAAATGGCCAGGGAAGCAGCAGGGAGGAAGTCACATATGGAGTCTCTACCCAGGAGCCTCATTCTGTTCCCAAACCTATGATTCCCTTCACACCCTTCCTGGTATTACCTCCTCAGCTGATGGGATTGTTGCCCATGTTTCAGCTGGATATTCTCCGTCTGCAGTGGAGAGAGACAGAGACAGAGAGAAACCATTATTAACTGAATTATTATCCACTCCCCAAATTAATATGTAGTCCTAGCCCTCCAATACGACCATATTTGGAGACAGGTTCTTCAGGCATAATAAAGTTAAATGAAGTCATAAGCATGGGGCCTGGATCCACTAAGACTAGTGTCCTCATAAGAAGAGGAAGAGACACCAGGGATGAGCGCAGAGGAAAGGCCACGTGAGGACACAGCGAGAAGGTGGCCTTCTGCAAGCCACAGAGAGGGGCACCCAGGGACATCAAACTGGCTTCCACCTTAATCTGGGACTTCCAGCCTCCAGAACTGTGAGAAAATACATTTCTGTTGTTTAAGCCCCTCAGTCTGTGGCATTTTGTTACAGCAGCTGGAGAAAACTAATACAATCATCTTCATCATATGACTGAGGTTTACTGAAGGCTCACCACGTTCCAGACACGGTTCACAGCTCATGACTCTCACCATTTTACGTAATCCTCACTCCTATCCTTGGAAGGAGGTATAATCATATTCCTGGGTTTTTTTTTTTTCTTTTTTGGAGACAAACTCTCACTCTGTCTCCCAGGCCAGAGTGCACAGGTGCTGTCTTGGTTCACTGCAACCTCTGCCTCCCAGGTTCAAGCAATCCAATATCCTATATATAGAAATATAGATAGTGTATTGGCCCATCTGGTATACTGTGTATATTTCACCTGTTCACTGTGTTTCCTGATGGTATCTGCCACCAGGATGCAAGTTCCATGAGGGCAGGGACTTTCCGCAGTTTCTTCCCTTGGTAACCTCAGTGCCTAGTCACTCTGCAGATACGTGTAGGGGGACGAACATAGTACTTACCACATTCCAGGCACTGCTTTAAGTTTCTTAGAAATATTCAGTCACTGGCTGGGCGTGGTGGCTCACACCTGTAAGCCCAGCACTTTGGGAGGCTGAGGTGGGCAGATCATGAGATCAGGAGTTCGAGAACAGCCTGACCAACATGGTGAAACCCCGTCTCTACTAAAAATACAAAACTTAGCCAGCGTAGTGGTATACATCTGTAATCCCAGCTACTCAGGAGGCTGAGGCAGGAGAATCGCTTGAACCCAGGAGGCAGAGGTTGCAGTGAGCCGAGAAGGTGCCATTTTCATCCTGGGTGACAGAGTGAGACTCTGTCTCAAAAAAAAAAAAAAAAAAAAGAAGAAGAAGAAATATTCACTCATAGCAACCCAGAGTCAGGTGCCATTATTATCCTCACCATTTTGCGGATGGGCAAACTGAGGCACAGAGAAGGGAAGTGGCTTGCCCACAGCCTCCCTGGTAGTAAGTTACGGAGCTGGGACTTGAACCCAGGCAGCCCAGCTCTAGTGTCCTCTTCTATCTCATTGTTGCTGTGATCCCATTTTGGAAACGAATGAGTCAGATGGGCTCCTCAGGGGTCCCTGTCACCCTCCTTGACGGGGTTGTTGGTTTCATCTCTGTTTCCTTGTTGGGCAAGCTCAGTGCCTCATGGGGGCTGAGTGGATGTTGCCCAGTGCAGGGGGGTGAGGGACAGAAGTACCTTAGGCTCCGGATGATGGTGAAACACAAGCCTCCAATCAGCACCCCAGCTCCCGAGATTCCAGCCACGATGAGCGAAATGGCAGCACCTCCGGACAGGGACAGAGTGGGGTCTGGCTCCATGGGCTCTGCTTCTGTTGGCTGCATGATGGCTTCAGTGGACCAAGGAGGAGTGAGATTGGAGGAGCCATCTGCCCACCCTCCCTGCGCTCCCCTCCCTCCCGCCATTCCCCCTCCCAAGTGTCTCTTCAATCCATCCTTCTCTTCCATCCTCCAGCTCTCCAGCCCCCTCTCCTCCCTGCTCTCTTGCCCCAGTCCAGCGCCCACCCACCTTCCTTCCACCTGGAAGCCAGGAGGATCTTTCTAAAGCTCAAACCTGACCCTGTTCCTCCCCTGCTCAGAACCCTGCTTTGGCTCCCCAGCACCCTGGAGCAGAAGTCAGTTCCTCATATCAGCCTTCAGGGCCCTGCCACCTGGCCAGCCTCATCTCTCTCACTGCCCTGCCTTTACAGCCCTGCCACCCTGGACTCCACTCAATTTCCCAAGCTCACTCTTTTCTTTCTCTCTTGCCTCCAGGCCTGTCCATGCTGCACTCTCTCTCTGGAATGCATTTATGCCATTTCTCTCCCTTGGATTGCAGAATTCCTTTTTTTTTTTTTGGAGACAAGCGTCTCACTCTGTTGCCCAGGCTGGAGTAGAGTGGCACAATCTTGGCTAATTGCAACTTCCACCTCCTGAGTTCCAGTAATTCTTGTGTCTCAGCCACCCCGGTAGCTGGGATTACAGGTGTATGACACCATGTCCAGCTAATTTTTGTATTTTTAATAAAGATGGGGTTTCACCATGTTGGCCAGGCTGGTCTCGAACTCCTAGCCTCAAGTGATCCACCTGCTTCGACCTCCAAATGGTCTGCGCTAATTTTTTGTGTTTTTAGTAGAGACGGGGTTTATCCATGTTGGTCAGGCTGGTCTCGAACTCCTGATCTCAGGTGATCCGCCTGCCTCAGCCTCCCAAAGTGCTGAGATTACAGGCGTGAGCCACCACACCCGGCCTGTGTTTCTTCCAACAACCCTGCAGAGGTATATAGGATTACCCCTATTATACACACAAGGAAACTGGGGCTCAGAGAGAAGTCACTTGCCCTAAGTCACCCAGCCAGGAAGGCATGGGAACAGAGACTGAACTAAGTTTTGACCGGGTCCCAAACCACTTCTCTGATCCCAACAACCTGCTGTCAGTTTGACTGCCACTCAGGTCTCCATATACCTACTGCATATGGTAATAGTTACAATTAATAACGACAATGCTAATTGCAACAGTGATATTGGCTCACGGTTACTGAGCACCCATTAGTGTTCAGTAGGGCTAAGCATTATTATTTCAAGCTATTCACCTGCTTATCTCATTGAATACTCACAACTACACTCCAGGGTAGGCACTATTATCTTCCCAGAGTTATGGATGAGGAAACTGAGGCACAGAGAAGTCAAGACACTGGCTCAGAGTCACACAGCCAGGGATTCAAATTCCAAAGCCATTGCTTTGAACCACTCCTTAGATGATGATGATTTTTTTTTTTTTTTTTGGAGACAGAGTCTTCCTCCGTCACTCAGGCTGGAGTGCAGTGGTGCCATCACAGCTCACTGCAGCCTTAAACTCCTGGGCTCAACTGATCCTCCCATCACAGCCTCCCAAACAGCTGGGACTACAGGTGGTGCCACCACGCCTAATTAATTTTTTAGTTTTTTTTGTAGAGACAGATTCTCACTATGTTGTCCAGGTTGGTCTCTAACTTCTGGGCTTGAGTGATCCTCCCACCTCAGCCTCCCCAAAGTGCTGGGGTTACAGGTGTGAGCCACTGTGCCTGGCCCACTTCTTAGACTATGATCTGCATTTTTTGAAGGTATGTGCTGAGACTCAGTGAGGTGAAGAGGCTTCCCATGTTCATGTAGCCAGCAAATGGTTGGAGCCAAGGACCCAGGTGGCCTGGTCCAGATCCTGAGCTGGGCTTTCATTGTAGTTAACCTCTTTGAGCCTGTCATCTGAAAATGGCCTAATTGGCTGGGCATGGTGGCTCACTTCTGTAATCCCAGCAATTTGGGAGGCCAAGGTGGGCGGATCACTCAAGCCCAGGAGTTCAAGACCAGCCTGGCCAACACAGTGAAAACCCGTCTCTCCTAAAAATATAAAACTAGGCCAGGTGTGGAGGCACACGCCTGTAATCCCAGCTACTCGGGAGGCTGAGGCATGAGAATCACTTAAACCTGGGAGGCAAGGGTTGCAGGTGAGTTGAGATTGTGCCACTGCACTCCAGCCTGGGTGATGGAGCAGGACTCTGTCTCAAGAGGAAGAAGAAGGAGGAGGAGGAAGAGGATAAGGAAAACGAGGAGGAGGAGAAGGAGGAAGAAAGTGGCCTAATAATCCATAGCTTACCAGGTGGATGAAACATTGGAATGACATTTGCCTATAAAGGGTCTCACAGGGACTGCTCATAGAAGGTGGCTAAATGGAATCAGCAAGACTGCCCCAGGCTGGAGAGGGTGCAGGGCTCTTGGGTAGGGTGGGGGACTCACTTGGCAGTGAGATGGTCACAGGCGCAGAGACCAGCTGTTCCTTGCTGTTTGTGGCTGTGCACATATAGGTGCCCAACTGCTCCGTGGACAACCGCCGGATGAACAGCCTCTCTCCTTTTCCGCAGGGCACCCCATTGTGGGTCCAGCTCACCACAGGCTCAGGGTTCATTATCACCATCCACTGCAGGATCACAGAATAGTTGAGCTCAGTCTGGATGACGCCCTCAAAAGCGGCTGGGAATGTCTTCAGTTGCGCTGGTGGGAAGCTGTCTGTGCAAACAGGGAACAAGGCCACAAGAGTGGAGACCACTCAGAAAAGCTGGGTATGTCTTCTGCCCACCATAGAGATGTTCATTCTTTTTTTTTTTTTTTGAGACGGAGTTTCACTCTTGTTACCCAGGCTGGAGTGCAATGGCGCGATCTCGGCTCACCGCAACCTCCGCCTCCCGGGTTCAGGCAATTCTCCTGCCCCAGCCTCCTGAGTCGCTGGGATTACAGGCACGCGCCACCATGCCCAGCTAATTTTTCGTATTTTTAGTAGAGACGGGGTTTCACCGTGTTGACCAGGATGGTCTCGATCTCTTGACCTCGTGATCCACCCGCCTCGGCCTCCCAAAGTGCTGGGATTACAGGCTTGAGCCACCGCGCCTGGCCACGAGATGTTCATTCTTTCATGTGTTCATTCATTCATTCGTCCAAGAATGTGTTTGAAGAGCCCAGTCTGTGCCCAGTGTCCCCAGTCTAACCCCTTCCCCTTCCCACTTCAGTGGCCAGCACCTGCATCCTGTTGCCTGAGGGTCTTCAATGGCGGCCAAAGCCTACTCTGCCCATGGAGGCAGCAGGCTGGAAGTGCTGGGGAATGAGCACACCTGGGAGCAGCCTTCCACAATGCTGGGCACAGGTTGGCGTATAAATACCCCAGATCCCTCGCTGTCACATGGGATAACTCTGCAGAGTCGTTCCACACCAGGGCCCTGACTTCCCCAGTGGGACTGTGCTCTAGCTGCCCACAGTAAGCAGGTTGGGAACACAGCTCTTATTATTTCCTGCCTTCTCTGCCTAACTTCCTCATTCTCCAGTTCCTTGCACCTCTCAAACAGACTATTTGACCTTAAATCCTCGGCTCTGGATCTGGGTGAACCAAATCTAGGACTCTGAGGCTCTAGGGCTCAGGGGCTCAGCAGTGATGAAACAGACACAGTCACTACCCTCATGAAACTTATGATTGAGTGACGAGAGAGTCAATAAACAGACCAATAAATACATATGGTGGTGGTAAGTGCTGTGAGGAAAACTGCAGAGAGATGAGGGGTTGGACTGCGGGTGGGGTAAGCCCATTTCAGGTAAAGCAGATCAAGGAGGGCCTCTTTGAGGAGCTAATGTTTGAGCAGAGTCCTGAAGAAGCAGAGGAAGGAGCCATGTGGATTCCTAAGGAAAATACCCCTCCTGGGTTCAAGCGATTCTCCTGCCTCTGCCTCCTTATAGCTGGGATTACAGGCACCCACCACCACGCCCGACTAATTTTTGTATTTTTAGTAGAGATGGGGTTTCACCATGTTGGCCAGGCTGGTCTTGAACTCCTGACCTCAGGTGATCCACCCGCCTTGGCCTCCCAAAGTGCTGGGATTACAGGTGTGAGCCACTGCGCCTGACCATCGATTGGGCCCTTGCTATGAGCCAAGTACACATGGGTAAAGGTGTTTGGGCCACAGGGGCGGAGCTCTCATGGCTTGGTGCTGTCCTGATGGTAGTGAGTTCTCGTGAGATCTGATTGTTGTAAAATGTGGCAATTCCCCCGATTCTCTCTTGCTCCTGTTCTCACCACGAGAGACACCTGCTCCTCCTTTGCCTTCCACTATGAGTAGAAGCTCCCTGGGGACTCCCTGGAAGCTGAGCAGATGCTGGCACCATGCTTCTACCTGTGAAACCATGAGCCAATTAAACCTCTTTAAAAAAATAAAATAAATAACCCTGTCTTAGGTACGTCTTTATAGCAATGCAAGAACAACCTAACACAATGTCAATGACAAAAAATAGCTACAACACATTATAACTCCTCTCCTTAAGAGGTGGGACCTATTTTCCTCCTGTTGAAGCTGGGCTGGCCATGTGACTTGCTTTGGTCAATAGAAGGTGGCGGAAGTGATGGCAGTCAGTTTCCAGCCTGGGCCTGAAGGAGTTTTGCAGCCTCACCTCTTGTTCCTCTTTCATTGCTGAGTGAACAAGCCCGGGATAGCCGGCTGGAGGACGGGAGGCTCTATGGCCCACTCACCCCCATCACTCCAGTCACCAGCCAGGCCATCGCCAGGCACATGATGGAGGCCATTCTGGACCAGCTAACACCCAGACACCCCAACAGCTGACCACAAGAACTATCCAGCTAGATAAGTGATTGATATTTTAAGTTTTGGGGTGGTTTGTTGGGGAGCGATTGATAACTAGCACAGAATGTGTCCTGGTGGGCTCTTCTGGGGTCCAGTGGGTCTGCTTTCTGAGAAGTCAGTCCCTCCCATGTTGGGGCTCCACTCACTCTTGACATGGATCTGCTCTGTCGCACTCCTGCGCCCCCTGCTGGTTTCCAGCACGACGGTGTAGCTGCCCGAGTCCTGAGCCGTCACGTTTCGAATGACCAGGCTGCCTTGGGTGCCCAGCATCTCCCGGCCAGTGTGGGCAGGTCCTGGGAGGCCCTCCGGGGAGAATATCATGGCTGCTGGCTGGGCGTCATGCCCTCGGAACCAAGACGTGGTGAAAATGCCATCGAGTCTTCTGGGGACAGAAAGGTGGGCACTGGCTCCTTCGGTCCAGGTGTTCAGCTGTGTTGAGAAGGGCAGCTCCGAGAAGGCAGAGCAGGTGCAGGATGTGAGCAGGATGCCTTGGAGGAGCAGGGAAGGAGGAGACAAGGGGGGCAAGTGAGAACAAAGGCGAAATGCTGTCCGTGCCAGTGACCATTCCCAAGCCGCTGAGAGTGAGTGTGGGGCATCGAGAGCTGACGATGACAGTGACGATAATGATAAACGTAGAGGAGAACACTCACAGAGAACACTCACTAGCACCCACCACAAGCCTGACTCTGTTCTAAGTTTCCAGCCTGGTTGTGTATCACCTCACTGGTTCCTCTCCTTGACCCTATGGAGCACACAGTTGTATTACACTGGATGTTGCAAAAAGTGGTTTTCTACCTTCTCTGCTCCACTCTGCTGCCTGAAAGGCTGACTTCTCTGAGCTGTGTTGCTGGGGTCCCCTTACCTTTTGCTGCGGGTTAGTTTCTGTCAGTGGTGCACTGGCAGAAGAGAGGGCAGCCGGGGAGTGAGCTTGAAGGGAGTAGTCCCACAGTTGGCTGGGTCCCTCTGTTCCAGCCCACAGCTCCTGCTGAGTGGCCCTCTCCATACACTACTGATGTCTTCCGGTTCTGGGATCTGCTTTTCTCCTTATAGCTTCCAGCCTGAGGGAGGTAATAGCTCCCTGCTGTTGCTAGGCCCTGGGTGCTGCATTATCCCATGCTCTTCCTATCCCTCACCTGCACCTCTGCTGCAAATAGTCCCTGTCTTAAACTCTCCTTACCACTCCCTTAGAGTAGACCAACTGTTTCTTGCCTCAACCCTGACTGACACGACTACGGTACCCCATTTAGATGAGGAAGCAGAGACTAAGAGAATCTGAAACATTTTCCCAGGATGTCATAGGTGGTAAACAGCAGAACCATGATCCACATGCAGGCAGTCAAAATTCTCAGCTACTAAACTATCCTGCCCAACTCCTGCCTTAGTTTCTCTCACGTCCTCTCATTCAATTTCCATATTGCTTGGAACTTGGAGTTGAACCCCTGGAGTTTGGTTCCAGATCCCACACAGTTACCCAACCTGCTCTTCTTTCTCTCACTGGAATGGTGTGGTAGGAATACAAGCTCTAGCCATAAAGACTAAAAAAAAATTATGTAAAATGAAAAAAAAACCAAAACACCTGAAAGGTTAAAAAAAATCCCCAACACTCCCAAAGTCAAAAGAACGACAACCAGGAGAAACTCATTCTAACTGACGTCATAGACAAAGAGCTCGTATCACTAATATATAAAGAGCTCCTCGAAATTAATAAGAAAAATATCAGCAACCCAGCAGAAAAATACACACAGCATATGAATAGGCAGTTCATAGAAAAGAAAACTATCTCTCAATGTAGGGAAAATGCTCAATTCTACTCATAGTAAGATAAATGTAAATGAAAACAAGCTGAGATAACCTTTTCAGCAAAGATCCAAAAGCTTGATGATGACTTGTTGTGTTGTGATGCTGAGGGCAACAGGAACACCTATGCTTTCCTGGTACGTGCCCTGCAGAGGGCAATCTGGTAAAGTCCTTCAAAATTACAAATTCTTTTTTTTTTTTTTTTTTTTTTTGAGATGGAGTTTCGCTCTTGTTACCCGGACTGGAGTGCAATGGCGCGATCTTGGCTCACCGCAGCCTCCGCCTCCTGGGTTCAGGCAATTCTCCTGCCTCAGCCTCCCCAGCAGCTGGGATTACAGGCACGCGCCACCATGCCCAGCTAATTTTTTTGTATTTTTAGTAGAGACGGGGTTTCACCATGTTGACCAGGATGGTCTCGATCTCTTGACCTCATGATCCACCCGCCTCGGCCTCCCAAAGTGCTGGGATTACAGGCTTGAGCCACCTCGCCCGGCCCCAAAATTACAAATTCTTGTATCCTTTGACCCTCTAATTAAATGTCAGGGACGCGTTCTATAGATAAGACTTTCACAGAACAAAATGACCAGTTCACAGTGTTGCCACACCCTATTTACAATAGCAAAAGATTGGAAATACCCAACACTTCAACAATAGGGGACTGATGAAATAAATAATGGTTCACTTATTTCATAAATGTAATCACTTATTTTAAAGCTCTCTTAAAAAAGTAATATAATAGATGGTAACTTTTAAGGGTCAGAAATATCCATTTACAGAATGCATGTTAAAACATCAGCTTTCTTCTTGGTTAAACGAATGAGATGTGGTGGCTGGAGATACCCACTCCCAGGAGCTCATCACCAGATACAAACACTCTGGGCTCTGGAAGCGGGTGTGAGGTCTCAGAAGCAGCTTTGGGTGATCGGCTGACACTGCATGCTGGCTGAGGCTGAGTGCCAGGGACCATGCAAAGCCCTTCCAACTTGGTATCCTGACCAGGATACCTCATTGAGCCCCTCAACAACTCTGAAGTTGGTGCTGGTCTGTTTTACAGGGAAAGAAACTAAGGGAAAGCAAGTTTGAGTCTTAGATTCAGAGTCATAGTGGAGAGCTGGGAGTTGTGGGGGTCACTCATTGCCCACCTCCCACCTCGATTGAGTTAATCTCCAAGTCAGCAGCTGGTGTGACCTACCTACCTTCCTTCCTTCCTTCCCTCCCTCCCTCCCTCTTTCCCTCCCTTCTTTCTTTCTCCTTCCCTCCTTTCTTTCTTTCCTTCTTTCTCTCTCTCTCTCCCTCCCTCCCTTCCTTTCTCTCTCTGTGTCTCTCTTTCTCGACGGACTCTTGCTCTGTTGCCAGGCTGGAGTACGGTAGTGTGATCTTAGCTCACTGCGGCCCCCACCTCCTGGGTTCCAGTGATTCTCCTGTCTCAGCCTCCCAAGTGGCTGGGACTACAGGCGTGTGCCAACACACTCAGCTAATTTCTGTTTTTTTAGTAGAGACAGGGTTTCACCATGTTGGCCATGATGGTCTCGATCTCTTGACCTCATGATCCGCTTGCCTCGGCCTCCCAAAGTGCTGGGATCACAGGCGGGAGCCACCGCACCTGGCCTTGAAAAACAAGTTTCTAAAAGCTAGTTGCTATTTTATCCAGTGATATAGCCAATTCCCAAAGTGCCCCACCCTCTCTGTCCCCACCCCAGGAAGATCCAGCAGCACACAGCATGCCTTTTTTCCAACTTACAACGACAGCAGCCAAGGAGAAACTTTCCCAACTGCTTTTCTTTCCTTCCTCCCCTCTGCCCTCTGCCCTGAGAGAAGCCTCAGACAACAGCTCTGATGAAATGGGGAAGAGGACCATCATGTCCCTTTCCTCCTTCCAGTGTGACACAGGCCTGAGCTGGGGACACAGCAAAGCTTTGAACTGGGTGGACTTTGGGTTTTAAAACTACACAGAACTGAACTTGTAAGACCTGGAACAGGAAGTAATTCAGTCACTGTCTGAGAGACAGGTGTATGTGGTCTCTGGCAAGTGTTGTCTGGGAAGCCAGCCCACCTGCCTTCAAATCTTCATTCTGCCACTTCCATGTGTGCGACCCGGAGAGGGCACATGGCCTCTCTGAACCTCAGTTTCCCCTTCTGTGACATAGGGATCATCCAGCCCTGATCTCAAAGGGTTGTGATAACAGTTAAATGTTACTACATGATAGCACTTAGAATGGGCTGACAGGCTGGGCGCAGTGGCTCACACCTGTAATCCTGACACTCGGGGAGGCTGAGGCAGGAGGATCGCTTGAGCCCAGGAGTTCAAGACTAGTCTGGGCAACATAGTTAAGACCTCATCTTTACTTAAAGATAAAAAATATATATAGCTGGGTTTGGTGGCGCATACCTGTGGTCCCAGCTACACAGGACACTGAGGCAGGAGAATGGCTTGAACCCAGCAAGAGGAAGCTGCAGTAAGCCATTGTCATGCCACTGCACTCTAGCCTGGACAACAGAGCAAGACCTTGTCACAAACAAACACCGCAAGCGGGCTGGTACGCAGACCTGTTCAGTCACGGCGACCTTCTATTACGGCTGATGTTATTTTATTATTGTTATTACTTATATTGATTATTACTAGGTTGTGGATTGCTGGGGTGAGACAGGGCACCTGGTGGAAGGGGGCTGGGCTGGGGTCCCGAATTCTGATCCCACCCCTTGCCAGCCCTGAGATCTTCGGTAGGTGACCTGGTCCCCTCTTTGAGCCTCACTTCCCTTCTTCCTAAAAGAAGCCAATAGGATCATCTCTTGCGTCAGGGTGGCCTTCAAGAGTTCCGGTAAGTTGGTAGCCTGAGCTTCTTGGGCCTCAAACTGCCCAGGGTCGAAGCTCTGAGTGGGGCGATTTGGATATGGACAGACTCTCTCCTCCTTGTTGTCCCTCCCCGTGGTGAAGCAGCTGTCTCCAACGCACCTGTTAAAAGCAGCTTCCTCCAGGCAGGGGTGTGGCCGGAGCTGACGTCCACAGGACTCCTCATCTCGAATTCTGTCCAGGGACCGTGCAGAGAAGGTCTCTTCCTCACACGTCTGGTCTTTATAGACCTGCGCAGTCGCGTCTGCAGCCTCGGCCCCGCCCTGCAGGACCCCGGCCACAATGACCACGCCCACCCTGGCCACGTCCCCTTGTGACTTTTTGAGTTAGCTGGGAAGTCACCTCCAGCTGCACCCTTCTCTAGCACTGGGTCAGTGGTGGCGGTGGGTGGGGACCAGACCGGGACAGGGTTTCTGGGGAGGAGGACCTGAGGTTTTGCTCTCATTCCTTCACGCTACAACCCCTGCCGGGAGATGGAGGGAGGAGCAGAATCGCCCGATCATTCACATCAAAGGCAAGGAATGGCCAAAGGTCACCTGGTAGGAGGTGAAGGGGCCTTCTGCTGGCCTCCTGGGTTCTCTCCTGGACTCTGAACCACAGCTTTCTTCCTCTGTAATGAGAAAATGTTTATTTCATGTGTACATTAAAAATTTCCAGAGAAGCCAAAAAGAAGTATTCACTCCCTGCCTTGTCATTTCTGGAAAGATTGTGGGGAGATACTTTACTGCATATTCATTGATATATTGTTCTGCTAAGAAAATTTAAAACAAAATGAAGGTGTTAATAATAGTGCCTGCCCCAGAGTCAGAGGGGACCGTAGACACAAGGTGGTTGGCGTTGTGCCTAGTCACATAGTAGGTGCTTGATGAATGTCAGTCACTATGAAGTCAGTGCTAATTATAATTTGATATCTAAGATGTCCTGGAGGCGTGTTCAGAATCCCGGTATCAGGACCTTGCTCAGACTATATCCTGAATTTTAGATTCTAGAAGGATAAGCCACACTACACTAACTAGCTCCTTTTTCCTCACCATTTTCACTCCCCAGGCCCGTTTTTTCCTCCTCAAATTAATAATTATATTGCTCGAACCAATCGCTGGTGTTTACTCAACACCTACTATATGCTGGACACAGCATTAGCCCTGTAAGAGCGTTGACTAATTGGATCCTCATACTAACCTCCAGGAGTAGATATGAGCGTCCTCATTTTCCAGTGGCGTACAGGCGCGGAGTAACTCGCCTACCGTCACACAGCCGTTCACAGGGGCTTTCTGCAGGATTTTGGAGGGCGCCAGCTCAGGGCCTTTGCATGTGCTCTTCCCTTTCTTAGACCCTTATTCATGTAATCTCAAAGCCGACTATCTCATTATTTTGGCTTAATTCACACACATCACCTCCTCACAAAGGCCTTTCCTAATGTCTGCTGCAACTCAGGCCCCCAGCTCTTTGCTAGCAAGCCACACTGTGTTGTTTTCTTCTTGACATCATTTACCGCTCTCTTAGATGATTTCTTTGTCCACTTGTGTTATGTCTCTCCTCCTTAGTCTCACCCCTCCAACTTAAACGTCAGATCCAGGAGGGTAGGGGTGTTAATCTGGTGTGTGGCTGTGCCCCTGGTGACTAGAACAGTGCCTTGCACGTAACAAGTGCTCAATACATTTTTTTTTTTTTTTTTTTTTGAGATGGGGTCTCACTCTATCAGCCACGCTGGAGTGCAGTGGCACAATCAGCTTTCTGCAGACTGAACCTTCTGGATTCAAGCAATAATCCTGCCTCGGTCTCCTGAGTAGCTGGGACTTGTCCTTCCATCTTGGAACCACTTTCAATCCATGCGCCCAGCTTCAAGCAGACCCTGAGCAATCTCTGGAAATCTGTTTATTTCTCTTTGGTCAGTTCCTGGTTCCAATTTTCTCAGCAGGCTTTCCAGCCTTTACTGCCATATGCAAAGCCTAGGTCACTCTCATAATCATACCTGAGAACCAGCTCGGCTTTCTCTGGTTAAATTTCACTCATTGGGTCTGAACTACCACTCCTAGCCCATTTTAACATTTTTTTGTAGAGACAGGGTCTCACTGTATTACCCAGGCTGGTCTCGAACTTCTGGGCTCAAGTGATCCTCCTGCCTCAGCCTCCCAGAGTGCTGGGATTACAGGCATGAGCCACCGCGCCAGCCAACATGTTTTCTTTTTAGTGAATAAATGGATGAAGGGCAAGTGAGTGAGATGGAGTGTCCAGACTTGAACTCCGATCTGTCTGACTCAGAAGCTCATGCTTTTCCCTCCCAGAGAGGTTCAGGTTCCACCCAGGGGCTAAGGTTCACCCATGAGTTGTCAATAAGTCATCATCAGATGACACAGTTAATTCTTATTAGCATTTGCTAAAGTGCTTCTTTTACGGTTGGTCTGAAGGCCTCTGCTGGCGTGATGAGCGAGGCCAGGAGACCACTGATAGGCAAAAAGTAAATATCTGCAGTGCAGTTAATAGCCGTTATGCTGTAAGGTTCTGGGGTTTCTGCCCAGCCAGCATTCACTCTCTTTTATCCAGGTAACTGCACCTGGAGTTCCCTTTGGAAACCAACTTCCTCATGGCTCCAAGGAGGTGAGGGGCCTAGGACTGGCCAATCAGAGCACTGCATCCCCTGACAACAGTGATTTATGGAGAATTGCTTGGGTTCAAGCAATTCCCTGCCTCAGCCTCCTGAGTAGCTGGGATTACAGGCACCTGCCACCATGCTAGACTAATTTTTGTATTTTTAGTAGAGATGAGGTTTCACCATCTTGAACTCCTGACCTGGCCTTGGTACCCAGAACAGGCCAAGGAGAAAGCAGTCTTAGGGATTTTATTGGAACTCTGGGGAATAAAGCATTTTTTCTTTTTAAAAATTTCTTATTTTTATTTTTATTTATTTATTTTTTGAGATGAGTCTTGCTCTGTCACCCAGGCTGGAGTACAGTGGCATGATCTTGGCTCACTGCAACCTCCGCCTCTTGGTTTAAGCAATTCCCTGTTTCAGCCTCCCGAGTAGCTGGGACTACAGTCACTAGTCACCATGCCTGCCTAATTTTTCTTATTTTTAGTAGAGATGAGGTTTTACCATCTTGACCAGGCTGATCTTGAACTCCTGACCTTGTGATCCACCTACTTTGGCCTCCCAAAGTTCTGGGATTACAGGCGTGAGCCACTGTGCCCGGCCCTGTTTTTAAAGTTTTATTTATTTATTTAGAGATAGAGTCTTGCTCTGTTGCTCAAGCTGGAGTGCAGTGGTGTGATCTCGGCTCACTGCAACCTCCATCTCTCAGGTTTAAGAGATTCTCATGCCTCAGCCTCCAGATTAGCTGGGATTACAGGCATGTGCCATGATGCCTGGCTAATTTTTTTTATTTTTAGTAGAGACAGTCTTTCACTATGTTGCCCAGGCTGGTCTTGAACTCCTGGCCTTCAATGATCCGCCTGCCTTGGCCTCCCAAAGTGCTGGGATTATAGGTGTGAGCCACTGCGCCCAGCCTAAAAGCATTTTTTCTTTCTTCTGGGTTTGCTGAGCTGCAGAAATCTCAATGTGCAGCTGCTGGGACCATCTTTCTATTGTGGGTAGAGAGGCTACCTAAGAACGAGGTCAACACATATGAAAGTATAGTCAGTGCATGGAAAGAGAGATTTCTGATAGCATCATTTAAACACCTAGATTCAGCTGTGCCTGATGTCCATACTGATCCTTCAGCTTATGTGCCATGCTGCTCTGTGTATTCTCATTGTTTCCCCTGAGTCAGTTTGTTTTGGGATTCAGTTACTTTAAATCCCAAAAGAGCTTTGATTGAAAGGAAAGATGAATGCTGGAAATAGATAATCGGTGCTGCAAAGAAAAATTAGCACTGAGACAAAGGATCTTTCAGCAATATAGTTTTTACTTCCTGGACTGCAGGAAGGGTACTCTCTCTAGCCATTGTGCCGTGAGAGTACAATGAACAAAGGAAAACACAAATTTATCCCTTATATGTTTGGGGTCATCGTTATTGCTGTGTCTGATCTCTGTTGGCTGGAGACAGACCTCAAAATCTAAACTAAAACCTGATTGGCTAACAACTTAAAACTTTTCTAAACAGGTAAAAGCAATGGAGAGCTGGGACAGGCCTGTGAGCACATCCAGCACAGATATCTTGGTTAAAGTACAAGGACATAGAATGTACTATGTGCCTATAAGCATGGCATGTCTAACAGCTACATAGGATAGGGCTTAACAAAGTTATTAGCACACTTATTCTTTAACGAGAAAGGAAACTTTAAAAAGGAACATTTCTGCTTCCCACAGTGAAGAACAGAGTTTTGAAAGGATCTGACTCTCAATCTAGCTGAGACTCAGGCTGGAGAAGGGAAGACTCCAGGGAAGAGACGGTGAAGCTGACCACCGAGAGAGAAGGAGAACTTAGCAGGTCACTGTTTCTGAGAATTGCTGGACTCCATGCAAACCTCTGCACTAAGAAATGACCAAGGCCAGGCATAGTGGCTCTTGCCTATAATCCCAGCACTTAGAGAGGCTGAAGCGGGAGGATTGCTTGAGGCCAGGTGTTTGAGACCAGCCTGGGAAACAGGACAAGACCTCATTTCTACAAAAAAAATAAACAAATTAGCTGGGGCATGGTGACGTGCTTGCGCCTGTAGTCTTAGCTACTTGGGAGGCTGAGGTGGGGGGATTGCTTGCGCTCAAGAGTTCGAGGCTGCAGTGAATTATTATTAAGCCACTGTACTCCAGCCTGGGCAACAGAGCAAGACTCTGTCTCAAAAAAAAAAGAAAGAAAGAGATGATTAAACTTTAGCAGGGCTTCTAGTAGCATAAGGCATGTTCTTAGGATGATTCCAGCCCCCCAATAAAATGCCACCCAAGGAAGCTCTACCTTGCCAGGATAATTTACTGTTTGACCTAGCCAACATTTGGCAATATAGCCCTATTCCCTTTTCAGAGCATTTACTAAAAAGGGCCTACAATTGTGAATCCTTCCTCTTTCTCTTTGGGATGTGTGTGTATATGTATCTATATCCCACAACTCAGGGTTGTTTTTTTTGTTTTTTTTTTTGTTTTTTTTTGAGACGAAGTCTTGCTCTTGTCCTCCAGGCTGGGGTGCAATGGTGCGATCTTGGCTCACTGCGACCTCTGCCTCCCAGGTTCAAGCGATTCTCCTGCCTCAGCCTCCCGAGTAGCTGGGATTACAGGCGCCTGTCATGATGCCCGGCTAATTTAATATTTCTAGTAGAGATGGGGTTTCACCCCATGTTGGCTAGGCTGGTCTCAAACTCCTGACCTCAGGTGATCCGCCCGCCTCAGCCTTGCAAAGTGCTGGGATTACAGGTGGGAGCCACCGTGCTCGGCCAACTCATAGGTGTTTCTAGAGTACCTGAAAGCCATTCCTTTGAAATATAACTGTCAGAAGGAGAGGATCTTCATCTCCCTGTCTCTGTGGGAGGATAGAATTCTAACTATGACAATTGCCAGCTAGCAGACACGGCTGGCCTAATCCCATTGACGCTGTACAACTTTTTTTTTTTTTTTTTAGCTGAGGCTCTCTCTGTTGCCCAGGCTGGAGCACAGTGGCATGATATCAGCTCATTTCAACCTCCCCCTCCTGGGTTTGAGTAATTCTTC